TGGATCTGTTACTTAGCTAGTAATCCGGCCGGCCAGCCTCACACGCGTGGTCTTCGTAATGGTGTCGACTGTATGCGCGCGGCCGGCGCTCGACGCGGCAACGCTGCCTGCCAATAAGGGTGATTATTCATACCCTGGCGGCCGCTGTAGGAACTAGTTTGGAAGCTTTGGTCTTTGGACATTCTGTACCTTGGACACTACGTACATTGGACATTCTGTACTTTGGACATTCTGTACCTTGGACAATATGATATGGACCCGATACGGACTCGTTGAGTCATGGGCAACTAAATGTCCGTTGGGCCAATTCATACCTAAGGCAGGCAGCCTGCTGGAGTTTTTTCTGCGGTGGTGTGGTGTAAGGGAAGATAATTTGGAACACGATACTGTTGCAGGCGACCAACATGTGTTTCACACACCAGTTAGTAGTAATACTGATCAAGAAATATACGACAAAGCAGCCATACGATTGATCCGCAATCAGTCATGCAGGAGGCAGCCGGGCCTGCACAGTGGCCGCCGACGGCAGACGGGAGCAGGGCTCAGATCAGGAATGTAGGTCAGAAAGGCCTTCATTCTTTGGCTTGGTTGTTGGAGAATTTCGTGTTATGGCCTTTGTTATGTTGTTTTTGGCGGTTTCAAGCTTCTGAATCCGTTTCCACCTAAAATGCTGCGGCAAGCCTTATGTCTTGAAAAGCAGCCGGCGAAATAAGGGCGCATCAAAAGTCTGTCGCACTGTGAGCCTTCGATTCACATTAAAAATCATCACCAGCCTATGTCCAGGCCTATTTTGCCATCTACCCTGTGAGGGCAGATGCCTCCTTAATGACCCAAAATGCCCACCCGTCCATGGAATTTCGCGTCTCCAGGAAGGACTATGTTGAAATGGACGAATAATCCTGGGAAGGTGGATAGCCTTATTTGCCGCATGACATAGATGTGTCGAATAGGCAACATTGCGCACCAATGAGAAATAGCCCTAGATTCATATCTACCATAGCAGCCGTGACATTTGAATCAAGAGTGATAACAACCTCCATCTCTTACTCCCCCCCCCCCCTCCCCGTCATCTGGCTTGCTTTCCAGAAAGAGTTCCTGAAGTGCACCCTGAGCTTGGTCCCCCACACTTTTTGAAACGTTCCTGCGCCTGTCACTGCGAACTGGTACTGGAATCTGGTGGCGGAACTGGGAGAGCGCAAGAAAAATATATATTTTTCGTGTCGCTGCGGCTATTAATCTGTCCAGAGGACATCCTCGAAACTACGCGAAATTCACGCCCAGTGCTGTCTTTGAACGGTGCAAATTGATTTTCAGAGACTTTCGGAAGCCGCCTGGCATTCTCCACAGCGGCCGATACCGGCGGGTTTTTCAGGGATTTGCAACTCCGGCCATCGCCGTTTTTGTTGCTATGATTGGAAGTGCGCAGGCTGAAAACTCTTCGTGCAATCTTCCACCACTCCGTTCTGTAAAACCAGATGGACGTTCTCAGGCCAGCATGGGTTAAGCTCTTTCATTACTGAGCTTATTTCGGTCCATCAGATTGAACTGCGAAGACCAATGAGATCCCACACCTTTACCGCGCAAGGGGTCCCCGGGTAGAACACTGGGGGCACATCAACGTTCCCGGTCAAAGGCTGTCATTCCGTTCTTACGCGGGTGCCTACCGCCATTCTGGCGACACGGAGGCGATGCCGCTTGGTCGGTCCGGAGACCCTTAGAGAGATGCGTGAAATGTTGGCCTCCTCCCTGACACGGAGCCCTCTGAGCCAGGCAGTTGGCCCCGAATCGACGCAGAACTCATTGACACAACATAATTTCTTATCGCCGAAGGCGGTAGCGCAGGTTCCAGTTCGGCCCTTGGCTGAAATGGCGCACAGGGCTCCTCGTTCGGTATTAGGGGCCCTGACTGACACAAGGCCCCTTTGTTGCCTCCTTGTGGGCTCTCAGCATGAGTTTTCACATATCCTTGCACTGTCAAAGGGCCCCGACCAACGCAAGAGATCTCCTGCCATTCGGGGTCCCGTCCCTGTCCGTGATAAGCAAATGTTCTTCTCGCCTACTCGGGCCCCTTGCCAATACCTTGGCCCCGTTAAGCGCTGTGGGCCTACGACCAACACAGAGGGCCTCTCATTGACTCAAGCGCCCCTGCCAATATAAAGCACAGGCCCGGCCCCTTGTCCCTGCTTGGGAAATAGACCCTCGGGCCAAGGCCGATACGGCACAGATTGTCGGGTACTGATGGTGCATGACCGATAGAAGCCCTTATCGACACGGGGACCCCCAGTTGGCGCAAAAGGCCCTCTGGCATGTGAGAGCCCGGCCCTTAATATGACACCGACCAGCCCTCCGCACACTCCAACCGAGCCCTTAATCATAGGCCCCGAACGGCTCTTCAGCCCTCGGGGCCTGGGTGGGAGCACGCGTCCTGTACCTCCCCACCCGCGCCACTGTTCTGTACCGGCACACTTAACGCTGGCTAAAACGAAAATTTAATAAAACGAGCAGCATTGGGCACATCCTGACATAAAATGTAAAGTTAAACGCGACATGCTCCCCGTTGTTGTTCATTTACACCAGTTGTAGCTACACTGCGTCTACACTCATTTGTCCCATTGACTCGGCCCACCCGGCCCAGCCCATTGGCAACGCGTCGCGTACCGTTGCTAAGCAACGCTGACGCGCACCAGCAAGGGCGGTTAAGGACGGCCATCAAAGGGCGTGCGCACCACCCGAGCTGCTCCCTAGATCGCCTGGCACCTGTTGGCATGGTACCGATGACAATTGGCTCAGAGTGATAAACCCCAGCTGGGTCAGCGGTTGCCTTGTTCTCGCAAGGTGACGCGAGATGAGGTGATCCTCTGCAGACTACGTATTGCTCACACTTATGCAACCCACGGCTTTCTGTTGAGGGAGCGGGTAGGCCTCTCTGCCTGTGTTGTTGTTCTCACCGCTTGCTATGCGATTAGATCGTGTCTGCGCATCGTAAAAGAACGTCTGCGTCACTTTGGACAGCGTGTCCTGCCCCTGCCGTTCATACTAGTGACATACATTAGTGACATACTAGAGGACAACTCGCACTTTCTTGAATATAACCAGACCTTCTTTGTTCTTGAAGTATTTCAACTTCGGGGCTATTCACACGGTTCATTATTAATGTATGATGGCTCGTTATAGGCGCCAAATGGTCTGCAGTCGGCGTGCCCGAAAACACCACTAAGCAACAAAAGATCGTTTGGGAAGCAAGGCATTGGCCGAAGCTGGACCATCAGCACGCTGGCCGGCTGTTCTTCGTCCCGAGTTTTTCTACATTTTGATACGATCTGGCGTCAGTAACGACGTAACACCACGAAAGCCGGCCAGCGGACCGCTGTGTGCGGGGGGCATCGGCGCCGCGCTGTACGGCGCATACGTCGTCAGCGGTGCTCAACACCGGCCGGCCTGGTTAGTGTGTATTCCGCCCTGGCGGCACGAGGAGATCTACGCCTAATGGACGAGCGCGCCACTTGAGCTTCGGCACGCCGGCGCCGCGTCCGCCCGCACAGGACACACCCACCGGGTCACGTGACGTGGAGTGACGTCAGTGTCGGCTAACCTGACAACGAGGTCCGGCGGCGCGTCTGACCGCGCGACACAAACACCGGCCACCGAACACCGCCCGACCGGCCATCGCACCTTCCTCAACACGCACCATGGCAAACCGCGCAACGTCAAAGAACAATGATGGCAAAGGTCGGAATAGCATTCGTGCCTGTTAGCGGCTGATGATCAAAACTAATTATCGCAAATGCCACGCGACGAATCGAGTAAAATATTATCAAAATACCTGCTATGGACAATGGCCACGCCAGAGCTTGATTCATGGCACACAAAAATCGTACATTACGAACACGAGTACAGCGTTGGTGTTTTCGCACGGAACAGGCTGACCGACCGGGAGGACGGCTCGATTGACCGCCGTCACGCCGGGCCCCCTGAACACTTAGAGACGCGCGTGTCTGAAGACAAGCGACCAAACGGTAACACAGTGGTGGCGGCGGGAGCTCCGTGACAACAACGTCTTCACAGATGTCTGCCAGCCGTGCCCGTCCGAGGCTCCGTAAAAGGTCGAACGTTCCCGCTAGTTCCGGATGATCTGGCCAGTTAGCTGAAGCACGAGCGTGGCCAAAGAGTCACGAGGTGGTGGCTGATGACGCCTCAGATGGGCGGTGTGCCGCCGACTGTCACCATCAGATGACTCCCCGCCAACGCGTGCCTCCGACCACGGAGACCCAGGCTGCAACTGCCCAGGCGACGGCTTCGAAGTCGGCCGATGTCGCGACGGAGTGGTGGGTTCTCTTCCGAGGGTCGGGCACGCACCCCGCACCTGGCCGCAGCCCGACCTCCGTCCCCTCCGAGGGTCGGGCACGCACCCCGCACCTGGCCGTGGCCCGACCTCCGTCGCAGACCACACCGGTCGGGCTGGCCGCCAGCCGTGGCAGCGCGCCGCCGGCGCGAGCGGGCGAGATTAGGACGGCAGCAGGGACCCGGGCCCGGGCACGGACCACCACTCGATGTGCTACACACGCCGCCGACGGCCGGACGCCGCTAATGAGAGGCCGAAAGACTAGTGTTTCGGACGTCCACGCCACGCGCGGCTCTGTTCTGACTAGGTCACGCGAGGGCGCACTGGCGGCGGGCTGCAGCCACACACCGCCGCTGTCGCTGCAGCCGCCCACCGCACACATTCAGGCGACGAGGCCAATCTAACATCAATCAACAGAGTGAACCAGGCGAAGAGCCCAGCTGCTCACCAGCCACACCACACAATGATAAGCCCGTTAGAGGACAGCACTGCCGAGGAGCACGACTATTCACAGAGTGAGCGAGTCCCCTGGACACGGACCGGCTGGGCTGGCGAGGTCGGCCCAGCAGCGCAGCCTCACGAGCTCGGACGCCGCTCCGGCCGGCAGTCGCCGCCGCCCTGGCCGGCGGCGCCGGCTCGCGGGAAGGCTCCAGCCGGCCTACTCAGACATGCGGCACGCCGGCGGTACGGACCAACAACCGGCCCTATTACAGGCAGCTGGAACGTTCGGCTGAGAATTTCAGAAGTGGGGACAAAGGATGACCTCAAAATGCGCCCACAACTGTGTCGCCGCACAGAAGACAAGCACATGTCGCGTCTGTCGTTTCGAGTCGTTCACGGGTACCGGTCACTGCGGTTGAGAATTTGGCATGAAAACGCTTCACCGTGCGAATTTAATACGGCCTGGCTATCTTTGTTTGCCCAAGACGTCACGTTTACTTTTCTTCCAGGGAACGGCGGCATGAAGCGCGTCGACAAATGTCCATAGTTACCGTGGAAGCTCGCACGGATCGCTCTGGCGTTGATGCCGCCGTGCAGACGGACGGCGGGCGGCGAACCCCCTACGACGGGCTGCCAAACAGTCCGATAAAAAAAAACAGGACGGTTATACATGCCATAAACGACCTCCACCTCTACGGTGCCCTGAAAAACAAGTGGTATCATTTGACTGGCAGTCCGTGGCGTACCGCACAATAATGACAACACAGCCGGCGCTGGCCGGCTCCGGGGCGGACCCGACGACCCAGGGTCGCCAACATGGCGGAGACAGGCGCGGCGGGAGGGCGACCGACCGGGCGGGATCGGCCGGCACGACTGGCCAGGGGCTGCCCGAGCGCGTGTCGGCCCGCCTACCACGACAGGCTCAGCGACAGGCGGCGCCACTGGCGCGTCGGGCCGACCACAGGCGACTTGACGCCTTGCTCGGGACTAGCCCATCCACCCTTGCCGTCACCAGAGGACGCCCTGCACGGTACGAGGACTGAAAACACGACCCGCTATACGAGATACAGGGACGAAAAGAAGCCATGACGGTACAAGGACTGAAAACACGACCCGCTATGCGAGATACAGGGACGAAAAGAAGCCGTGTGCAGATGCCTGCTTTCAAGAATGAGCAAACAGCGGTACATTAACGGGCACCAAAACAAGTAACATCTATTAAAACAGTCCCTCTGCCTCACCTCAGACTGAACAGCTATACGATAGGATTGTAGTCCAAGATCAGGGGAAAAACATAATGGCGACGACAATACAGCCCACAACAGTGCGACTTACGGAAAATACTTGATTCCATCATCGACCTGGTATCAAATGGAATGAAGCTCAGGGAGTGACACTAAAAGACACCCAGACCCCAATAACCAGGCACGAGAGGCCTTCCCCGCCCCCAATAACCAGGCACGAGAGGCCTTTCCCGGCCCCCAATAACCAGGGCCTTCCTGGACCGTGGCCTGCGTGTGACGTGGCTTTGGACAGTACGGAGCCGGGCGCCGGCCTCCACGGCCTGTACGCGGCCGTCCCGATCGCCGCTCACCTGATTGAGGAGCGCGCCGCGCCGGTATCATGCCGATCCTAGCACTCGCGCCGTATCATGCACTACAGATTACGACCCACTGCGGGTCACAATCACACAAAACGGGATGGCAAGCGAGCCGCCGCTACCGAGCCCAAGTGGACTGAATGGTACGTGAACGAAGCCTACCCTACGAACGACCGATTGTCACAACGAAGCATAGGTGATTCAAAGAACGGCAGCCGCCGTTCATACCTGAACATCATGGCACCTGGCAGCGTGGCCGCTCCGAGCTGGACGCGACGGCACGTGAGTCAGAGCTCCTCAGCTAGAGATCAGTGGCACAACTGATACCGATTATCCACTGAAGCCTCGTCGAGACTAGCCTAGCCTGCGCCTAAGTCCGATCGATGCCCTGGTGAGTGGCTCCGCCGCACAGGCGGCCACATGTGACCGGCTGTCTTTCTCTGCGCTGTAGGGCACTGGAAGGTGGCGGCGCGAGCGGATGGCTGGCCGCCGGGAGATCAGCCCCAGCCCAGGTCAGCGGAGTGGCAGCGGCCTCACGCCACTGCAGCGCCCCTAGCGGCGCGACTCGCAGTCGGCGCTGGTGTTGACCGTCTGCTGGCTGAGCTCTCGCCCATTGCCATCGCCGCCGCCGCCGCCGCCAATGCCGACGCGCAGCACCTTGCCGGCAGGCGAGGCGCCGTCCAGGCTGAACAAGCCATCAGGGCGCCGGCGTGCTGGCAGCAGGAACAGAACTGAGAGCGCGACGCAGCAGTGCCAGGCCGAGTGCGTGTACTTGTAGTTCTCCTCGGTCTCCAGCAGTGTGTAGCAGACGAGGCCGGCGCCAGCGATGGTGGCGCCCGGCAGCAGGCCCAGCAGCAGGTAACGCAGCGGCGGGAACAGCGCCCTCTGCCGCCGACAGTGCACCACCTGCCGGGCGGCCACGCACGCCACTCAGCGCACGGAGACAAGACCCATCACGATCACGATCAGCAGAGACAGGGCCCATCGCGATAATGATCGGCAGAGACAGGGTCCATCACGATAATGATCGGCAGAGATAGGGTCCATCACGATGACGATCAGCAGAGACAGGGCCCATTGTGATCACGATAAAAACAACAGGGCCCATCACGATCACGATCAGCAGAGACAAGGCCCATTGTGATCACGATCAGCAGAGACAGGGCCCATTGTGATCACGATCAGCAGAGACAGGGCCCATTGTGACCACGATCAGCAGAGACAAGGCCCATTGTGATCACGATCAGCAGAGACAGGGCCCATTGTGATCACGATCAGCAGAGACAGGGCCCATTGCGATCATGATCGGCAGAGACAGGACCCATCACGATTACGATCAGCAGAGACAGGACCCATCACGATCACGATCAGCAGAGACAGGGCCCATTGTGAGCACGATCAGGAGAGACAGGACCCATTGTGATCACGGTCAGGAGAGACAGGACCCATTGTGATCACGGTCAGGAGAGACAGGACCCATTGTGATCACGGTCAGGAGAGACAGGACCCATTGTGATCACGGTCAGGAGAGACAGGACCCATTGTGATCACGGTCAGCAGCAAATACATGCTCACTTGTAGATGCAACGGAAGCGAGCGCATACGCACCAGGTGGACAGACCGGCACTGGCCCGGCTTTGTTCAGCATTAACAGATTCTGCATCACACTACGGCGGGCAGAGCTCGGACCGCCTCACTACGGCGGGCAGAGCTCGGACCGCCACACTACGGCGGGCAGAGCTCGGACCGCCACACTGCGGTGGGCAGAGCTCGGACCGCCACACTACGGCGGGCAGAGCTCGGACCGCCACACTGCAGCGGGCAGAGCTCGGACCGCCACACTACGGCGGGCAGAGCTCGGACCGCCACACTACGGCGGGCAGAGCTCGGACCGCCCCCCCCCCCCCCCCCCCCCCCGTGTCTGTGACTCGGCCCCCGCGTCTCAGCCTAAGCCTCCACACCACTGCGCCGGCGCTCACCCAGGAGGTGACCATGCAGACGAAGGCGGTGGCGACGGGCACGACAAACACCCAGAGCCCGGTGCGGTCGTACTCGACGCCGAGGGCCACCAGCATGGCACCGCCCACGTTCAGAAGGGAGCTCCAGGCGGGCGCCAGGTCGGCCATGGCCACCAGCGTTACCCAGAAGGCGAAGATGCCGGCGTAGAAGTCGCAAAACTGCATCACGCTCAGCCGCATCAGGCAGAAGGCGTACTTCTGCTCGTCGCAGGCGTGGTAGAACTGCGGTCAGGCGGCCAGTGGTCAGAGCAGGCGGCCCGGCAGACAAGCACCGCCCACAGATGCCTCCAGCAAGACCCAAACGAAACGATAACAACATCAGTTTATGTTTATCTAATTGGGGTCTGGTTGCGTGTCATTCAGGCCTAATGTGCTCAGTAGCCCAAACTGTATGGCGCTGCCGCCACCCGCCTCTAACCCTGACAGGAAGAGCGGGCACCGCCGGGAATCGAACTCCGTACCCCTGCCTGACCAGGTGTCGGGATGCACATGCTCAGGCGAGAGTGAGCAGGTGGCAAAGCGAGCGGAGGATGGCAGCACACACGGCACCGTCGGTCAGTCGGTGCCGGGCCGGCCGCTGCTGCGGCGCCGCGGCCGCTCACCGTCGAGAAGAACATGATGAAGGCGTACACCAGCGCCTCCGTGTAGAAGCGCCGGCGCAGCGCCAGCACCACGGCCGGCGCGAACAGCACGTTACTGATGGTCAGCAGCAGCGTGCCCAGCAGCAGCTGGAAGTCGGAGGTGGCGTGCGAGGAGTCGGTGCAGCCCCAGCCGGCGTACCCTGGGGGCCGAGCATGTACACAGCGTACGCAACTCCACGAATGGTGAACCACGACGACACACACATGTAGAATGCACACGGCTGGCGTACCTCGGCGGCGCCTGACCGCGGCACACCACACGACTGCAGCACTGGCCACACACGGTAGGGACTGCCACACCTGACGTCAGGCGCACACCGCAGCACGCCAGACGACTGCAGCACTGGCCACACACGGTAGGGAACGCCACACGTGACGTCAGGCGCACACCGCAGCACGCCAGACGACTGCAGCACCGGCCGCACACGGTAGGGAACGCCACACCTGACGTCAGTAAGCAAAGCCCCGCGTTCCTGTTTGGTTTTTGCATTATAAGTTCAGAGCTCTCACGCTGAGAGTTATGGGCCTTCCGTATGCAGCAAATCCTGGTCAAACAACAATCACACAAAGATTGGTTATACTGTAAAAGCCCGGCGTCTCAAGCTGTTTCTTATCACCAGTTTTCACACTGGCTACAGCCGCTGGGTTACGATCAATGACGTCATTCACGACCTTGATCCATCACCGGGTTAACATGTAGGCGTATGGACAGCTCCAGGCTACTGATAATGAACGGAGGCCGCTCGAGGCCGGCGTGCACAGGCGTAAGTCATGCCTTAATGAGTCATGCGTTATCGAACAAACACAGAAATCAGAATTTTTTGTAGTGCACGTTAAGGTCGCAAATTTGATTTGCGGGACTCACCTGGAAGCGTTGCTTCCATGCTAATGTGACCTTCGATCGTGCAAGCCGTGCGAAGAATAGCATACGTGACAGCCGACACTAGCTGCGCGGTGGCTCCGTACGTTCGCGAAGGTCATGCCGCGTGTCGCTCGACGCTAGGCCCGACACAGGCAGCGTGCGCTACCGCCGGCCGAGCGCCGACAACACCTGCGGCTGGCCGTCACCGGCGGCCCTACAGGCGGCCGCTCGGCTCAGCCAGCCAGGCCGACACTGCTGACGGTGGATCAGAGCCGGCCGCCGGACGGCGGCGCTCATGCCCAGGCAGGCGCGGGGGCATCGGGACGGCCTTACCATGCTTACCGGCCCAGCACACGCAGGTGGAGAAGACGAAGCCGCCAGAGAAGTACTGGTAGCAGCCGCCATTGGCGCCGCAGCGCGCCTGCAGGCATGGCGCCGACTCGATGTGGAACACGAGCGCCGTCTGATCCCCCGGACACGGTACCGTTGGCGTCTCACTGCCGGGCAGACACGATCGTCAGGCGGCTGTCCGCTCAGCCGGGCACACGGCCGTCAGGCGGCTGTCCGCTCAGCCGGGCAGCGTTCGGCCGCCATCACAGGGCCGGTCCAGCGGCGCTGCAGGGAGCGGCCAGCCCGCCGTCCGGCCCTGCGAGCGGCACACGCTCGCGCCCGGCCGCCGCCACAGGCGCAGCAGACGCGATCTCACGGGGTAGGCCGGGCCAGGCCGGAGCGCGCCTCTCACCTGCCGTACAGCTGCTGGCGGTAGCAGCGGACGGCCAGCGTGAGGTACCAGTCGCCCGGCTCTGGGTACGGCAGGTGGGTGACGTTGTCGAGCCGGCCGCCGCCGCCGCCGCCGCCGGTGCTGTTGACGGAGAGGCGGACGCCCGAGCTGCAGCGGCCGTCCGGCAGCAGGCGCGCCCGCACCCAGTGCGACAGGCACCCCGTCACTGACACGTTCGCCGCCGATGTGTTCTGTCGACAGCACGGGGCGGTATCAGCCGCGCACCAGCACTCCACGGCGTTGGCGGGACTGCTCGGGTGACGGACATGGGACGCCACGAAGATGGTGAGCCTCCAGGACGCCGCGAATTGCCAGCTGCACGATTGCTAACGGCGTTATCAACCAAGAGATTACATTCCTCCCAATGGCATTTGCGCACAATCAAACTTCATCTCACATCGTCCATAACATACCTCGGCACATCCCAACATTGGTGACGATACATGCGTCCCTCATAAGAAACACACACAAAAGTAGCCAGTACCATCAGCCAGCGACTGGTGCTGGCCGGCCGACTGACCAGCGAGTCGGGCAGGGTCAACGCCACGGTCAGCGTGCCGCCGATGTCCTGCACCGGCTGCACGCCGAACGTCAGCACCGACGGCCGGCGCGTGCTGATGTTGAGCCGCGCCGGCGGCCCAGCCGTGTCCGGAGCTGGCAGCTGGTCATACACGAACGCCAGGCTGCCGGCCAGCGTGCGCCGGCCCAAACCCACACTGGAGCGGGGACGCAGACCGGGGTCAGAGTAACACCACCCAGACCCACACTGGAGCGGGGACACAGACCGGGGTCAGAGTAACGCCACCCAGACCCACACTGGAGCGGGGACACAGACCGGGGTCAGAGTAACGCCACCCAGACCCGCACTGGAGCGGGGGACACAGACCAGGATCAGAGTAATACCACCCAGACCCACACTGGAGCGGGGGACACAGACCGGGGTCAGAGTAACGCCACCCAGACCCACACCGGAGTGGGAACACAGAACGGGGTCAGCACAACGCCACCCAGACTCACACTGGAGCGGGGGACACAGACCGGGGTCAGAGTAACGCCACTCACGCATCGGGCTTAGGTCAGCATACCGGACGAATATCAAACAAGCAGACAGCCAGCACTTCAGCTGACACCGGCGCCGGCTGTCATTATCGTTGCCGGCGTTGTCGTTGCCATTGGTCCAGGAACCATCTAGCTCGGCTCAACGGCAAACGCGTTCTGAACATTGTACATGAACCTCAGCAGACAATGCCTGTCAGCCGGAGCTGCCGGCAGATGGGCCAGCCCACCTGTTCCAGCATGTGTCGTTCTGGGCGCCCGCTCCACCGTCCGCCTCAGAGAACGCCACCGGAATGAAGGCAGTGCGCGCCGGCCTCTGGCAGTGGATCTCGCTCACCAGCATGTACTCGTTGTCGCGCTGCGGCTCCTTACAGTCTGCAGAGGACAGCTCGGTGAGGTGAGGTGAGGTGCGGTGAGGTGTGATGAGGTGGGGTGAGGTGAGGTGAGGTGAGGTGAGGTGCGGTGAGGTGAGGTGAGGTGAGGTGAGGTGAGGTGCGGTGAGGTGAGGTGAGGCATAATGAAGCAAGGCGAGGTGAGGTGAGGCACAATGAAGTAAGGTGAGGTGAGGTGAGGTGAGGTGAGGTGAGGTGAGGTGAGGTGTGGTGTGGTGTGATGAGATGAGATGAGGTGAGGGGTGGTGAGGTGAGATGAGGTGCAGTGCGGTGTGGTGTGATGTGGTGAGGTGAGGCAAGGTGAGGTGAGGTGAGATGAGGTGAGATAAGGCATGGTGGGGGTGGGGTGGGGTAGGGTGGGGTGAGGTGAGGTGAGGTGAGGTGAGGTGAGGTGAGGAGAGGTAAGATGAGGTGAGGCATGATGAGGTGAGGTACGGTGAGGCGTGGCGAGGTGAGGTGAGGCGAGGTGAAATGAGGTGCGGTGCAGTGGGGTGTGGTGAGGTATGGTGAGGTGAGGTGAGGTGAGGTGAAGTGCGGTGTGGTGAGGTGCGGTGAGGCGTGGCGAGGCGACGTGAGGTGAGGTGAGGTGAGGTGAGGTGAGGTGAGGTGAGGGGAGGTGAGGTGAGGTGAGGCATAATGAAATAGGGCGAGGTGAGGTGAGGCGCGGTGATGTCAGGTATGGTGCGGTGAGGGGTGGTGAGGTGAGGTGAAGCATAACGAAGTAAGGTGAGATGAGGTGAGGTGAGGTGTGATGAGGCATGGTGAGGTGAGGTAAGGTGTGGTGAGGCATGGTGAGGCATAATGAAGTAAGGTGAGGTGAGGTGAGGTAAGTTGTGGTGAGGCATGGTGAGGTGAGGTGAGGCACAATGAAGTAAGGTGAGGTAAGGTGAGGTAGGGTGAGGTGGGGGGCTGAGGCAGCAGCTGTCCCAGATAGCCACTCTAAGCTGGTCGATACATTGATGGTTTTAATCGTGGCGCTTACGCATCGCTTCGTCTTACAGAGGCTGACTTGGCCCGAACCGCGAAGGCGCATCAGCAAGCGAACGCCAGAGCCATGCGTCAGGAGTTCAGTGCCATCCTCGCGAGCCACGGCGCCACTGAAGTGATGTCACCGACGGGCCAACAGGCTTATTCCAGCAGCCCACAACGTACCGGGAATGGGTCCTGACAACGTCGGCGCCAATGCCTATCCCTTGGCGTTCATATTAAGGGCGTAACACGATCAGTCAAAGCTAAAAAAAAGAGCGAAACATCGCCGCCTACTAAACCATCGGAAAATAGCCGTCCCTGCGTTCACCGCCGCAGTTGGCCAACTGCGACCGGCATTCCGAGTACCCAGAACGTCGCCGCGTCACGGACCTTCGTGCTATCACTTGCACAGTGATCCCAAGGGCAGCCCCACCTAACCACGCGTCACTGGTGACGTCAGCGACCGCGCTGCCTGGCGTGGCGAGCGTCACGACTTCCCAGAACGCCCCAGATACCAAGTGCACGTGTTTACACAGCTGTTGCATTATCACGGGCTCCTGCGCACACGGTGTTAGCTGATCGGCTATCAGGGCTGTCGGGCGCCGCGACCGACCGCCCCCACACACACGATCACCGAACCGAGCCCTGGTGAGAAGGCCAGCGTCCTGACCACCGGTGCGCCCGCACGGCACCCAAAGATCGCGATGGCAGCCGGCCATGTCGGGAAATGACTCGCAGAAAATATCCATCGGACCATAAGCGTGTGCAACATGATTCCGAGCAGCATTACGCATCAAAACATAATCGCAAAAGCCCAGGCCAGCCGAGCTGACTGGCAGTCGGCGGCGAGCGGGGCGGGGCGGCGCCACCGCCGGTATCGCTCCCAATCAGCTGGTCTGAGGTCCATGAGCGCGCTGTGCCTGCGCCGTGCACACATGCCGCTAGATCAGGGCTGCTTTGTAAAGGCATGCTCGATGCCTGATGTGGTAACACAGGTAGTAAATGCGCCTGACCACAGCCGCGTGAGTAGCACCGTCTGATGGCGAGTCGGGCCCCCTGACCCGGTCGGGCGGCGGACTCACTCTTCTCCAGCACCACCTGGATGCCGAACTGGGCGGTGGCGTCGGGGAGGGGCGTCAGGCGGACATAGTGCCATCTGTCGGCGGCCGCGTCCAGCCGCAGCAAGCACACGCCGTCCGACAGTTCGCTGCAGTTGACGCTCCTGTCGGCAGCCGGCCGCGGAGAGCACACCGGTCAGTGCGGCGGCAGACGGGCGGGACGGGACACGGGCGGCTGCCAGTCCGCGGCACCAAGGTGGGCCGGCCGACCAGCAGCCCAGCGTGCCCACCGACGGGACACGAGCAGGCACCAGAGCACGGCCTGACGCGACATGGCGCTGAGCCGCCCAGGCGCCAGAGCACGGCCTGACGCGACACGGCGCTGAGCCGCCCAGGCACCAGAGCACGGCCTGACGCGACACGGCGCTGAGCCGCCCGGGCACCAGAGCACGGCCTGACGCGACATGGCGCTGAGCCGCCCAGGCGCCAGAGCACGGCCTGACGCGACATGGCGCTGAGCCGCCCAGGCACCAGAGCACGGCCTGACGCGACATGGCGCTGAGCCGCCCAGGCACCAGAGCACGGCCTGACGCGACACGGCGCTGAGCCGCCCAGGCGCCAGAGCACGGCCTGACGCGACACGGCGCTGAGCCGCCCGGGCACCAGAGCACGGCCTGACGCGACACGGCGCTGAGCCGCCCAGGCGCCAGAGCACGGCCTGACGCGACACGGCGCTGAGCCGCTCAGGCGCCAGAGCACGGCCTGACGCGACACGGCGCTGAGCCGCCCGGGCACCAGAGCACGGCCTGACGCGACACGGCGCTGAGCCGTCCAGGCACCAGTCCCGTCCACCCAAACGCCACAGGCCGCTCACATGGTATCTTCACATACCCCGAGCAGCTGGAAACACGCAGGTGCCCGACTATGTAGAGGCTGCCGCAGAGCCCACCAAAGAGCATCGGTTTTGGTAACATCGCATTATAGTATTGACAAAACTTATACGTTTTATCTCTAGAAGGTCTGCCACGAACACTGCTTTTGTACATTACGAAAGTGATGGTGATGGTGGACCCCTGGCACGCCATGCTGCCGGCCGGGCTGCAGCTGGCGGCGCGTCGACTAACGTACGTGGTGAAGGGTCCGGCGGCCGTGTCGGGCAGGGACAGCGCGCTGGCAGAAAGCGTCAGCGGGCAGGAGCCGCCGCCGACCGCATCCACACACTTGGAGACGTTCACCACAGCAGAGAACACGCCGGCCGGCACGACGAACCTGACAGAGGGGGCGTGTCAGATGGTCGGCGTCGGTCGGGGGCGTGGGGCGTCGGTCAGAGGCGTGGGACGTCGGTCGGGGGCCTGGGACGTCGGTCGGGGGCGTGGGGCGTCGATGAGAGGCGTGGGACGTCGGTCGGGGGCGTGGGAGGTCGGTCGGGGGGGGGGGGATGGGGCGTCGGTCGCGGGCGTGGGAGGTCGGTCGGGGACGTGGAGCGTGGGTCAGAGACGTGGGTCGTCGGTCGGGGACGTGGAGCGTCGGTCGGGGACGTGGAGCGTCGGTCAGAGACGTGGGACGTCGGTCGGGGACGTGGAGCGTCGGTCAGAGACGTGGGGCATCGGTCGGGGACGTGGGGCGTCGGTCAGAGACGTGGGACGTCGGTCGGGGACGTGGAGCGTCGGTCAGAGACGTGGGGCATCGGTCGGGGACGTGGAGCGTCGGTCAGAGACGTGGGGCGTCGGTCGGGGACGTGGAGCGTCGGTCAGAGACGTGGGACGTCGGTCGGGGACGTGGAGCGTCGGTCAGAGACGTGGGGCGTCGATCGGGGACAAGGGACGTCGGTTGGGGACGTGGGGCGTCGGTCTGGGACGCGGTATCCATCGGCCGGAACATAGGCCACTACCGCTGCCAGGTCAGCCGGTGGCCGCATTGGCCAGCAGCACGGCCGAGACGCCTGACTACGCTGGTCGGGGGAGGAGAGGCAGCTCGTGCAGCTGGCGCCGGTGTCTGTTGCCATAACTATCCTCGGCGGCGGTGCAGCCGCCCAGCTCGCCAGCCGTGAGGACGACGGTCGGCTATGCCGCGCCACAGCGTGACCGCTGACATGGGCCCAGCTCGCCAGCCGTGAGGACGACGGTCGGCTATGCCGCGCCACAGCGTGACCGCTGACATGGGCCCCACCAGTCAGACGTGACGGCGGCCGCTCTCGGCCGGCGTCTGGAAGTGATTGGTGGTGTAGGCGACAACACAGCGCCGCGGCAACTCTGGATACATCATGTCATCCAATGTCTGACTGAATGAACGTGAATAACATAGCGATGCTGGGTGCGGTTCATGCAAGTCCATCGCGTTCTCTCCACCACCTGTAGTGCTGGGTGCTGTTGATTTTCTGCGTGAGGATGAGCCTCTGGTGCGTGGTAACCTCGGGCACGAGCGTGATGACCTTCCCCTGTGGCTCGAAGCGCGCCTCGGTCTCCAGCACCGTGTGACATGTGGGCCCAAGACCCTGCAACAGCGGCCATGTCAAGCACGCCCAGACGGCCAGCAAGGCCCGCTGCCTGCCAGGATCGCAGACGGCCCCGAGCGTGGTCTCTCACGACGGCACTGCTATCGCATCACAACACTGCACCCTGGCATTTCAAACATGACCGCACGTATCAATGGCGGGTGGGACGTAGCACAGGGGCCACACGGCAGCAACCAAGCCCGAGCATCATTAATCAACAAATGCCAGGGGTCATAATCTTCGCCAAGCTCATGTCGGTTAAAACGAGGCCAATGAAAAAAAAATAATTCAGCATCAACAGCCAACACACCATTGCCAGCCTCAACACCATGACAGTCGCTGACCAGCCGCCCGGCAGCGGTGGCCCGACCAGCAGGGGAGCCGGGCGGCGGTAACCGGACCGGCAGGGGCCGGGCGGCGGTGACCGGACTGGCAGGGAAGCTGGGCGGCAGTGACCGGACCGGGGGGGACCTGGGCGGCGGTGACCGGACCGGAGGGGAGCTGGGCGGCGGTGATCGGACCGGAGGGGAGCTGGGCGGCGATGATCGGACCGGAGGGGAGCTGGGCGGCGGTGACCGGACCGGAGGGGACCTGGGCGGCGGTGATCGGACCGGAGGGGAGCTGGGCGGCGGTGACCGGACCGGAGGGGAGCTGGGCGGCGGTGATCGGACCGGAGGGGAGCTGGGCGGCGGTGACCGGACCGGAGGGGAGCTGGGCGGCGGTGATCGGACCGGAGGGGAGCTGGGCGGCAGTGACCGGACCAGCAAGGGAGCCGGGTGGCAGTGACCGGACCGGCAAGGGAGCCGGGTGGCAGTGACCGGACCGGCAGGGGAGCCGGGTGGCAGTGACCGGACCGGCAGGGGAGCCGGGTGGCAGTGACCGGACTGGCAAGGGAGCCGGGTGGCAGTGACCGGACCGGCAGGGGAGCCGGGTGGCAGTGACCGGACCGGCAAGGGAGCCGGGTGGCAGTGACCGGACCGGCAGGGGAGCCGGGTGGCAGTGACCGGACCGGCAGGGGAGCCGGGCAGCGGTGATCGGACTGGCAGACGAGGCCGGGCGTCCGCGCGCCCACCTTCTGCGTGATGCGCGTGTCCTCGGCCAGGATGAAGCCAGCGGCGAACCAATCGCCTGGCAGCGGCGCCGCCACCGTGTACCGCAGCCACGAGGAGTCACTGTGCGTGCTGATGCTGGCCAGAGAGGTGCGCTGCAGGAAGAAGTTCTCCGGGAACTCGGCCCCCAGCGGCGATATGACCGGGTAGCTGCCATGCTGCAGGTACCTGGGCATGGGGTCAGTCAAGCCAGTGGTGTGCAAACTGTTTAATGTAGTAAGAGCTGCCACACAAAGGGCAAGACAGATGCCTCAGGCAATTATCATGGCAGTTGCTTCAGAATAATGAAGCTATGGTGGTGGTGGTTGTGGTGACATTCTGGTGGTTTGACATGCTAGCTCTTCTGAACACCAAAACTGCCTTAGCTAAACCCATGACTATCAAAAGTTTCCAATGTTATTGTTTTTAGAACACACATTCAATTGTGATTACCAAAGGCAGGCTTGAACCCAATAAATTCAGAACATCTGAAATATCGCTCATGTTGATTGAGCATTTTCTTTGCTGATAACAGCATGGCTTTACACACTTCCATGATGAAGACCTACTGATGCATCTGCCCTCCAAATAGACATGTGTTGCATGTTAATGTCAAAACCTTGCAGATTGAGTGTAGCACAAAGAAAAAATCCTAGCAAGAAAAAATCCTTATCTGATTAAGATGTCCATCCAACAACTTTTTGCCTGATTGATTACATCACAGTTAATCTTCCTAATTTCTGCCACACCAGAATATACTCAAATTTGAACAATACCATAGTAAAATTATGGTGGAATGGAAGCCAATGGCTAAGTGATACCAAAACTTTACATTGTGCAATATTTGTATTACATAGGCAGCCACACAGATATTTATACTTACAGGGTGACATTTCTTGCATCACATCTTGAATTTGTTTCATTTGCCCTAAAGGAGAATGTTGCTAGCTTCACTTGCTCTGGAGCTTGAAAATGGAACAGCTGCACATCCTTGTATGAGTGGAATTTGAACAGCTCTCTAGGTGACAGCTTCTGGTATGAAGAAATGCTTGAGCCTAGAAACATCCAGCCATTGTAGCTAGCTGTCTGAGCCATTACCACACATTATCCCTGCTCATTGCTGATAACCTAAATCACAGTTCTGAGCTGATGAGTACATTACAATTTTGAAATTTGCACTATAATACAATATATCACAAAGCTCGTAGGCAATTTGTGGCCCTTCAAACCAAGCTGCAAACATCATTCAAGGTTCATTATCATCAAACAATTAACTTTAAATGACAGTGTGAATAGAACATTGATACTTACATTATGAATTTAATGAAAATTATTCCCATGCCAGAAATTTTATGCAAATATTGTAACAGATTTGGTGCTGAACACAAAGACATTGTTCTCTAATTGATACCACACTCATCTGAAGAAGCCAATCTGTTCATGCACATGGGCATTTCAATTTGTATCCATCCAAATAAAGAATTTGCAGCATTTTAAGCATCATTACTATCCCGATAGATCAATCATCATTGTTATCCTGATAAACAGCATTACCCTAATTAAAACACCAGACAATGCAACCAAAATACAGACAACACTTACACAATTTTACACAGGAGGTACACTGGTAGTTCTCTAACAACCAATGCAATATTCAGTAAAAGAACATGTGCACCAACCAATTGTCACATCTCATAATGGTGTGCCAATTACCAGTGTTGACAATATTCATATTACATTTGGCATTTGCCACTGGAATGGAATATCATGGCTCAGCAATAGGCATGTATACACTACATTTCATGTTCTCTGTCACCTGGCTCCCATGTGAGCCATGTTGCATAGCCCATATAAGGTGCTGATGAACACCTACCTGTTGTGATAAAGCTATGAGCAAGGAGCAGAAGCCACAACAAGGGCATTTTCTTCTCAAGAGTAGCCATTTACTTCCATACAAGCTTGCCAGCAATGGCAAAAAGCTTAATGTTGAAACTGTCACATCATTGCTCAGATGAACCCTTGGATCTTGTCCTTTTTAGACCAGAGGCTCCACAATGTTGTCATGCACGCACAAACCTGCCTTCAGCAAGCTCAACATCCCAGTTCCCAGTGTTTTTCACAAGTGCATTGCAGCCAGGCCCGGCGCCTGACTTTCGTTACCCCGCAGGATCTGCAGGATAGCTTTTGATTGGCCAGTGACTCACAAAACGCCCAAAGTGGAACCGCGGCAAGGTTCTGTCGAAAGGCTATTTGCACCAAACTGATGCGGTACCCACTCCGTTATCCACGCTTACACACAACAGGGCTTATCTTTTCACAAGGTTCAAGTCCGACCTCAACATCACGCTCCTGCGCGGCCCCGCGCACCTTGCCACCAGCCACCACCCAACGCCCGACCCACGGCGATATCAAGGCTGATCAAGGCGAAATGCTCAACCTGCTGTCGATCGCAACGTACGCAGATAGGAAATGCAAGGAGAGGCTAAACGGCTGCCAAAACGCGGTCACAACCCCGCGCCTCTGCCCTGTGGGGCTAACCGACACCAAACCTTCACCATCTAATGCCGCTTAGTCGGAAACCTCTCCTCTCCAATAGATGGTGACAATGGGTCAGGTCAAAGGTCACCAAAATGCCAAAAATCATCAAACAGGCTGTAGACAACCCATACTCAAAGCCTATACCACCGATTAGCACATAACCCTTACTGACTGGTCTGCCACGGTCGGTTGCCGTTGCTTTCCTGAGCATGGTGGTCTTGGATCGAGTCGACGATTACAAAAAAAAATATCACAAACCACCAACTTTAGCGGGAGGAAATCCCACGCTCCGAGCTTACGGGATCAATCCGTACAAAACCTTTCCAATCGATGGGCCACGGTCGATAACCTAGCCTAGCCAAAACACGGTGACCTCAGACGAGGTCAAGTGTCTCCAAAAATGCCCGAAATCACCATGAACTGATCTGCAGGCAACCCCATGCTCGGAGTTTTTTGGGACCGATAGGCATTTGCCAACCGATGCGCAATTGGCAGTAACCTTTCCTTTCCAGACCGTGGTGACGTTAGGTGGGCTTAGGTCACGAAAAGCGCCCGAGTCAAACATAAGCCCATAAACGGTCTCCTGAGTATCAGGAGATCGTTTCGCCGCTGTACGAACGGCAAAACGCGGCGAAACAGCCCACACAACGTTCGTATACTAACCTTCAGGAGCACGGCAATGCAGAGAGCTGCTCGAGAACTGTATACTATTTGGCAAAGTCGACAAGACGTCATAGCGTGGTCACCTAACAATAATGTGACTACTTAGCTGTCATTATCACAGCTGGCCGCAGTGGCGATGGCTCAACCATTTCCACAAAAGCATAAATAATCTATGCACATTGAAATCCCTCCAACAAATGGGCCCATTCCGGTTGTACGGTTATTTGGAGTACACGAATTTCATGGCTTACTCTGGGTTTAGAGTAGCTCCAGCGGAATGAGACGATGAACATATCCCTACCACTTGCCCCGCACGCTGCCAAGAATGTTTCGACCATATGGGCAAAATTGTTTCAATGATGCTTTGGTATACCTTAACAGTGCAATTTGACCCAGGGGTGAAATTTCCTGTTCAATTGGGGGAGGGGAGAGGCTGGAGCCCCTTCTTTGAGGTTGGCCAGATCCGTGGAGGAACATGCTTAATAGCACATTTTTTGGGTCGGTTTCGTCATTTCCTAGCGCTCTGCCCCCGAACACATGTTGTTGATCATGTTAGCCTGCCCAAGGGGCAAAAGTTGGGCTGTGTTTCTCTATTCCAACATACCAGTCTCACCGGGCGACAGTGAAGATCGTGCATTCGACAGTGCAAACACTTTCTGACGGGCTGACACGGTTAAATCTGCCGGAAAACGTACGCGGTAATGGGATTGCGAGCTCGCGACAAACGAACGCTCGGCCCGACTGAGTGGCACGCGCGCTGACCCTTCCGCCGGCCTCCGCGTCCGCGGCCAGGAAGCCATGTCCCATTCTCGAACGATGTATTATCAAATGAAAGCATCAACGATGGCCAGGCCCGTGGGTCGACAGCGGCGGGTCACTTCAGCACGGCGTTGACCAGACGGTCGAGCAGCGGGAGGAGAGCCTGGTCGGCCGGCGGCCCGCCCTCCTGCGGGTGGGGCGAGCTCCGGCCCTGCTGCTGCCGCCGCACGCTGTCCAGGAACGGCTTCTGTCGATGGGGCGGCACGGTCGGCGTCACCGCCCGCCGCAAAATGGCCCGCGGGCGGCGGTCACGACAGCGGCCGGCACAGACTGGCATACACGTATACATGGCCACAGGACCTGTGTTACGGGCGCTAGGCACCGGACTGACAGTCTGGCTGCCTGGCCTTCATTTGATAAACGCACTTCACTCATCAGTGCTCTGCTGAGCTGGCATGACAGCATCATAATTGACACTGGCCTACGACCTACGAGGGGGTACATGCTTCGTCTTTTTTCTTCTTTGCTATCCACATACGCCGTTACGAAATTCCCCACTGCCAGGTAATGTGCTCATGAACACTTCTGCACCCATCTGCACGATGCCCGTGGGCTCCAAATCAGCCGCCACCGCAAGTTACTGGCTCTCGCACCAGCGATGCACCTACGGTCGACAACAAACGCAATGGATTGGACGGAAGAGCAGTGCTCGGTCCGATGTTTTCAATGCCCCTCAGAGTCACTGGTAGGCTGGTAAGCCGCAGCCCCACAGCCAGCAGGAGATGATCCAGGAAGCGACTCGGTCATGCTCGGCCCCGCTCGCCACAACATTCCTTACCACGTAACCTCACCAAAGCCAGCCGCTGTAAATGCACGCAGTTTTCAAAAGGGATCGGCAGCATGATGCCAGATCTTGTAGGAGTAACAGACTTCAACAAACTGAGCACCTGAGTGTAACATTGCTGTTGACTGCCTTCTGCATGTGTGCAAAGTGCTGACAGCAGCGTGCCTCACCAGCTCTTCGCGCAGCTGGTCCCAGCTCAGCGGCTGGTCGTCGGCGTCGGCCGGCGGCAGCAGCCGGTGCAGCACGGCCTGCTCCAGCACCAGCGTTAGTGTCTGGTGCAGCCCGGTCAGCAGCGCCGCGCGCAGCTCCAGCAGCGGCTCGTGGCTACCGGTGCCGGAGGAGCGGCGCGCCGGCTCGGCCTGCAACGCACATCGCACTCCGTCAGCGCAGACGGATGCAAGCCGGCGCGCACCGCACTCCGTTAGCACAGATGGACGCAGGCCGGCGCACGCCGCACTCCGTCAGCGCAGATGGACGCAGGCCGGCGCACGCCGCACTCCATCAGCGCAGACGGACGCAGGCCGGCGCACGCCGCACTCCGTCAGCGCAGATGGACGCAGGCCGGCGCACGCCGCACTCCGTCAGCACAGATGGACGCAGGCCGGCGCACGCCGCACTCCATCAGCGCAGACGGACGCAGGCCGGCGCACGCCGCACTCCGTCAGCGCAGACGGATGCAGGCCAGGCCAGGCCAGGCGCAGCGGAACAGCGTACGGCACGCCCGGCACAGAGGCACAAGCTTCAAAATACGATGGCCAGCAACGGGACTTACCGTCCACCGGCAAGACTTACCGGGACTTGCCGGGCAGAGAACTTGCCGGTCCTTGGCTAATTTTAACGAGACTTAACTGGACAGAGAACTTGTCGATCCTTGACTAATTCTACGAACGACATCAAACACTTCCGGCCGATATCCACGAAACCCACGAAGCAAAAAGGCCTTCCATAAAAGTTTTACTCATTTTTTGGCGTTGAAACCCATTCTTAAAGCAGCCACTAACACCGAGCCAACAGCACCGTTTCATTGTACCTCATCTTGCGGTTGGGACGCTCCCATGACAGTACTTACTGGCGCTCGCATGCACGCGTGAGGCGTGTGTACGTGCGGCGTGGGTGCGTGCGGTGCGCGTGAGTACGTGCGTACGTGCGTACATGTGCGTGCATGCTTCAGTTTGTGCACGCGTGCGTTTACCTGATGCGCGTCGGGGCGGAAAACACGCTGGGTTTAGTTCGAGGTGGCCAGTGCAAGGCTATTCCCGTTCCTTGGTTTATCTATGTCACGATTGCGCAGATGTCAGGTAGGTATCTATAAAATCCACTAAGCGTGCAACACTTCAATTTTCACGCGTTTGGCGTCGAAGTCTCCACGTCAACAGCAATGCATGGCAGGAAGCTAAAATCAATAATCCATTGTAACTTGTCTTGCGGTTGGAACGATCCCACAACAGCAATTATTGGTGTGCGTGTCGCGTGTGTATGTGCGTGTGCGTTTAGGTTTATGTGTGTGCGTACGCGTGCGTGTGGGTTTGCGCGTGCACTCGTGTGTGTTTTAGTATGAGCGTGTGTGCATGTGCTCGGGTATTCAAATAGGGATGCTACTCGATAGCTGATGACTTCAATGTAGTGACGCCTGCAGACCGTGACCTGTCATGTCTTTATAGTTTGATTGAAAACCACGGCAACGGTCCATCCGGGTAGCGCAGCTGGCTACAGAGGCTGCCTTCCGACCCATTCACCCGCGGCGGGGTGGGTTCGGATCGCCTTAAGCGCTCACCAATTCTCCCTCGACGGATATTGCCCGTGGCCGGTGGCAGTGGCCACGTCAAAAGTCACATAGGACGGACCGTGCCGACGGCACGTCAAACTTTCACCATCGAAATGCACTGGAACCGCGCGATGGGATGCCAGGGGTCAGGGCTCACAAGTGCTTGTGTCTGTGTATCTGTGTGTGCCCGGTGGTCTGAATAAGGGGGCTATGCCATCATCGAAGTGTTGTGTGCTTAATGAGCTTAGTAGTTGCCGACCTGAACTCTGCACAATGTTGATAAAACCACACAAGGAGCAGAACACAGCCGTTGGCTCGCCACCTCCTAACCCAAACTGTCCAACCGCGTCTGCAGACAGATGCGAGGCTGACTGTGGTCCAGCAGTGAGAGGGAAGTGCCAGACAAACATGGCGAAGTGCACGGACGACACTCTTCCACCGAACAATTGCTCCACCTCATGTTCACTCTGAGTGTTGAGGCATCTTACTGCAATGTTCACGACCACCCCGACGCATCTGGTTTTGTTGAACGTCTCAATATACAGGCATGTCGCATGTCTCAGTGGTGCCCATTACTGGCCGCACCGTCTCAAAATCCGCTCGACTGAGCTCATTACACACTGATCAGATCCAACAGGAGTTTTTAAACTAACAACGCATTGTCCTGGTCCTCCGCTGTGAGAGCGCCGCGGTGCTGAATCGTTCCTCCCCTCCACCAGTCGGACACCACACGCCCACCCGCTGCAGCTGCCCTCGGGCGGCGCCCCTCACCCGGGTGAAGGGCCGGACGGCCTCCACCCACCCGCCACTGCCGCTCCCCTCTGTACGGCACCTCTCACCCGGGTGAAGGGCCGGACGGCCTCCACCCACCCGCCACTGCCGCTGCCCTCTGTGCGGCACCTCTCACCCGGGTGAAGGGCCGGACGGCCTCCACCCACCCGCCACTGCCGCTCCCCTCTGTACGGCACCTCTCACCCGGTGAAGGGCCGGACGGGCCTCCACCCACCCGCCACTGCCGCTGCCCTCTGTGCGGCGCCTCTCACCCGGGTGAAGGGCCGGACCGCCTCCACCCACCCGCCACTGCCGCTGCCCTCTGTGCGGCACCTCTTACCCGGGTGAAGGGCCGGACGGCCTCCACCCACCCGCCACTGCCGCTCCCCTCTGTACGGCACCTCTCACCCGGGTGAAGGGCCGGACGGCCTCCACCCACCCGCCACTGCCGCTCCCCTCTGTACGGCACCTCTCACCCGGGTGAAGGGCCGGACGGCCTCCACCCACCCGCCACTGCCGCTGCCCTCTGTGCGGCGCCTCTCACCCGGGTAAAGGGCCGGACGGCCTCCACCCACCCGCCACTGCCGCTGCCCTCTGTGCGGCACCTCTTACCCGGGTGAAGGGCCGGACGCAGACGTTGACGGCGGCCAGCAGGGTGCCGTACGTTAGCGGCGGCGGGCCAGGCTTGTCCAGTGTGGGCGAGCCGAAGCCGGCGCTCACCAGTCGCTGCCAGCCGCTCAGGTCGCGGCCGTCCTGCGTCAGCAGCTCCGGCAGCGGCGGCGACAGGGCGTGCAGCGCCACCAGACACACCGACGAGAGCCGCACCAGCCTGGACGGCCGGCAACACCAGCGTCAGGCCACACAGTCCACCTCCCGGAGCCAGAGTTCCGGCACTGTCGGGGCGATGCTGAACGCATGGGATCACGTGTCTCGAGCTCACCACGTCAGCCATTCCACACGACACACAACTAGCAAACCACATCACGGCAGTTGGGGGGGGGGAGGGGGGGGGGGCGGGGCTGACCCGCTGCCAGCCGTGTGCCTCGTGACCAGCTCCGACACGCGACTAGCGTACCACATCACGGCAGTTGGGGGGGGGGGGGGGGGGCGACCCGCTGCCAGCCGTGTGCCTCGTGACCAGCTCCGGGCGCGGGGGGCCGTGTCACTGACCTGTTCTGTACGCGTGTGACCTGGGGCGGCGCCCGCTCCGGGTCCGGGTCGGTGCTGCTCAGGCGGCGGACGCGTTTCAGCTGCTCGCTGCCGGCCAGCGTGTGCGGCCGCTCCAGCAGCACGGCCACCACCGTCGGCCGGCAGACGTACCAGAAACAGATGCCCACGCACCCCTTCAGCCAGGCCTGCGGCGTACGACACCGGGCGCTCAGCGCACTCCGAGCCGGCGCCTGGCAGATGCTTGTGGCAGCTGCAGGTGACACTGGGCGCCGCCGCTGGTCTCTAGCCAGCGCCCTCAAACATGGACTCATGCGAAGCTGAGAGCCCGACGTTCCAGAGACAAGTGGCGGCTTTCGGGCATGTGCCCGGAGCCCCTAAAAGATACCAGGATCTCATGAGCACAAGCCCTGTGGGACCCCGGATCCAGCCTTGCAATCCAGGCCACGTCTGGCAAATTTCATTCGTGATGCTTAGTGATGCGCAACGGCCTCTTGGGGAATGAAAAGTTTAGACCGATTGACACAAAACAGAAATTTTTGAAATCGCCGGCAGCAATGTCATCATTTACGCTACCGTTGGAAAAAGGCTGACACGTGCCAGACAATGTAAGACATGAACAACACAGTAAGATAAAGTGCAAGCATATGACTACTGTCAATGCAACTGCGCAAGACACAACATAACGTAATTAGTCGATACCAACGGAGGTAGTCATTCATTCGAAGTCAAGCCTTTCCACCAGCATCTGTGCGAACGGGTGCACTGACACGCGCGGTCGACACGGCACCGCTTCAGACCTCCTTGACGTCACCAGGAGGCGCTGGCCGGCTCTTGTCGCCTCGGCATGCGAGCCGGGGGGCGGCCGGCTCTGGTCGCCTCGGCATGCGAGCCGGGGGGCCGGCCGGCTCTGGTCGCCTCGGCATGCGAGCCGGGGGGCCGGCCGGCTCTGGTCGCCTCGGCGTGCGAGCCGGGGGGGGGGGGGCCGGCCGGCTCTGGTCGCCTCGGCGTGCGAGCCGGGGGGGGGGGGGGGGGGGGGGCGGCCGGCTCTGGTCGCCTCGGCGTGCGAGCCGGGGGGCCGGCCGGCTCTGGTCGCCTCGGCACGCGAGCCGGGGGGCCGGCCGGCTCTGGTCGCCTCGGCATGCGAGCCGGGGCCGGCCGGCGGGACTGACCATTAGCCAGGGACTGGACCGGCGGACTGACCATTAGCCGGGGACTGACCGGCGGCGGGACAGCGGACTCACCAGGAGCGTGTCGAACGACTGCCGGTGCCGCTGCCTCCACTGCCGGCTGAAGTCCATCAGCGTCGCCAGGAAACTGAGCACCGCCTCCGTTTCCTCCAGGTCGGCCGGCTGCAGACTGGTCCGCAGCTGTGGCGCGCCGCACGGCGGTGAGCACAGCGCCGCCCGGACGGCACGGCGGTGAGCACAGCGCCGTCCGGACGGCACGGCGGTGTTCACAGTGCCGCCCGGACGGCACGGCGGTGAGCACAGCGCCGCCCGGACGGCACGGCGGTGTTCCCAGCGCCGCCCGGACGGCGCGCCACCTTATCGCGCAACGCTGGTGCCGAGCGAGCCGGCTCCACTGCCACGCGTCAAGCGCGGCTCTAAAAACTGACACCGCTACCCACAGCACGCGCCGAAATCAAACACCAGTATGCTAGAGGTGTCTGGAGAATCATGGCATGGATGCCGCCAGCCGTCATCATGGCCGTATTCTCCTTACCGTAAGCCCGCAGCCATCATCATGGCTGTATTCTCCTCACCGTAAGCCCGCAGCCATCATCATGGCTGTATAGTCCTTACAATATGCTCTAACAGCAGGCCGACCCAACAGTAAGTACAACAAAGGCGACACGCTATACAGGATACACACCAGCTAGCCAACTTCCAAGAAAAATAAGTCCGAATGGCCGACTACTCGACAGCTTAAAAAAATACAAAGCAACCGCCAGCCAACGACCTGCCAGTCGCCTCGCGGTCCTAACGCCTCAGGGCATGCCCCGGGAAACACCTCAGGTTACGCCTCAGGGCACGTCTCAGGACATGCTTCAGAGCACACCTCAGGATGTGTCTCAGAGTACGCCTCAGGGCACGCCTCAGAGCACGCCTCAGGACACGCTCACCAGGGCCACGGTTGCGCTGCAGGCTGCTCACCTGCAGCGCGCTCACCTGGGAGACGGCCGCGCACAGGGCGCCGCAGTGCACCCGCCGCGAAGTCCAGGGCGTCCGCCACGAAAAAGTGCTTCTGCGAGCGAAGCAGCGTCGTCCACAGATGCACCATCAGCACCCACACGCCGCGCCACTCCTTGTTGAACTCTCCGCCCAGCTGCAAGATGGAGCGGGCGGCGAGTGAGCTGGCTACGTGCCTCCACACGGTCCGGTGGGTGTGGTCACGCGACTACCAGCTGGGGATGACAGCTGAGATGGGCGTGGGCGCGGATGTCTCGCACACGGCTGGTCAACTGAGGCAGGCCAACCGGACGACCGCCAGACCGTCCGCCGCCATCGCTATCAGCATTGCCCTTCCTCCGGGAGCCCGGACCGGAGCCTCGCCCCAGAGAGCCCTGACTGCCTCAGCCTCGCCTCAGAGAGCCCCCGACCGCCTCAGCCCCGCCCCTGGAGAGCGCCGACCCCTCAGCCCCACCCCTGGAGAGCCGATCGACTCAATCCCGCCCATGGAGAGCCCCGACCGACCTCAACCCCGCCCATGGAGAGCGCCGACCGACTCAGCCCCGCTTCTGGAGAGCCCCCGACCGACTCAATACCGCCCCCGGAGAGCGCCGACCGCCTCAATCCCGCCCCCGGAGAGCCCGACCCGACTCAATCCCCGCCCCCGGAGAGCCCCGACCGACTCAATCCCGCCCCGGAGAGCCCCCCACTCAGCCCCCCGGAGAGCCCCTCAGCCCGCCCCGAGAGCACCGACCGACTCAATCCCCCCGAGAGCGCCCCCGGAGAGCCCGACCGACTCAATCCCGCCCCCGGAGAGCGCCCGCCCGGAACTCAATCCCGCCCCGGAGGCCCCGACCGACTCAATCCCCGTCCCCGGAGAGCCCCGACCGACTCAATCCCGCCCCCGGAGAGCCCGACCGACTCAAATCCCGCCCCCGGAGAGCGCCGACCGACTCAATCCCGCCCCCGGAGAGCCCCGACCGACTCAATCCCGCCCCCGGAGAGCGCCGACCGACTCAGTCCCGCCCCGGGAGAACACCAGTCGCCCCAGCCCCGCCCCCGGTGCGAGGCTGGGGCTGAAGTGAGCCATTCTTTTTCGATTCATGGTGTCTCCACTGTTATCTTCGTCTTTCAAATGAATGGTCTCGTTCATCACGACTTCTTTGCCCGTCCCATTCGTTTTTCAAAACATTCATCCTCACCAGGGACATCGTTTGACAGTGCATCTTGACAGAGCTCCAGCCAATGGCATGGTCTTGTCGGCAGTCACTGGCAGCGTCCCTTGTATGGCATGCTCTCCGAATATTTCACTGGTTTCGTGGAAGTGACTTTAGGTCAGCTTATAATACGACACATGCCTTCATGATGTCCTGGCTCCAACAAGAAGCTGCTGCATAAAAGCCGCCCCTTTATTGAGCGCATACCCCATCGAGCAACCTTTTTTCGGACAATGCGCCCGTCTGCCACATGCTTCGGTTCGCCACGCTGGCGGCCGACCCTTCAGCAGCACAGAGGGTCCAGGCCACAGACTAGGCCGCTTCTCCGCAAAACGCTGGGTGTTGCCCCGCAACATCGGCCCGCAACATCGGCTTGCCTCCCTCTCCCCCCCCCCCTAACAAAAGAACACAAATTTTCCCTGCATACTTGAGCTGAGTGCAGTGATGACATCCCGGTTTAGGGGATGGCTTCAACCACACGGCTTGCTTCTCCGCGTCCCAAGCAGGGAGGGTGACGGCAACACAAATCACCACCAAAAAATCGAGTTCAGGGCGTCACAGACGCATAATTCTTCGTGTATCGTCAAGTAACATTGCATGTACTTGGTGTTGTTAAGTGCCCACCTGGACTTTTTGACTGTCAATATTTGGCTACGCGCAAATAAATATATTCTATAAATTTGGTGAAGGGGAATACGTGCCCCGGAGCTGCTATGGGCGTGTGCTCTTGTCTCCAGGCACAGCTTACCTCTAGCAGTTCAAAAAGCTAAACTCAGGCCTCCGTCGTCGAGTCGGCCGCGGCAAACACACGCGCCTTAGCTCACCACTTGCTAATGGCGCGTACTGAATAGACAGAACACATGTTTGGAGCACTTTCACAGTCACACGGCGCGGGCTGGTAATACTAGAACGCACAGTTAACAAAACAAGTCCGACATCTTATAATGCGGCGTGCAGATGAGCCCGCGTTAAGTTTAAACAGCAGCCTGAGTTCAGCTATCGGTCGGTTACCGCTGCGCCTCCTTTGTGTGCCGGAAAATTGGAAGCAGCCACGTGTTCACTACTTCCGTCCGTTGTCACGCTCTGATCGCCGCCGCTCCCGCACCGTACAGTTCCAGTCTGATCCACAAATGACAGTTCGTTGAATTCTCACGGCTGCGACGTCTCCGATGGCGTCAAGCAACACTACATAAGTCGTGAATAAATAAGATGCAAAATTGCAGAATATAAACACCTAAAATCACCACGACCATAGTCGATCTGCGATCCTAAGTCGCGTGCACGGTCGCTACTCACGTCGATTAACGTCATGCAAATGGGGATCCCAAAATTAATCGTTGCTCGCGCAACTAAGTGACTTTTTTCGACGGCTTAATCGGCTGGACTTTATCGGGGCCTATATAACCGACTTAACCGGTTTAACCGAAGGGCCTTCCCAGCAGCGCCAAGCACCTATCAATACCCGTAGCGGGTCATCAGAACGCTTGTGCACTACTCACCCGTGCACATACGCGCTGCAAAAACTCCAACCTCTTGCTGCTCTCTTTTGTACATGCAATGGTCACAGAAAATAGAACAGACAACGCAGATGAATGCGGCAGACCACATGGCAGCAAGTGTTTATCGACTTGACTGATCAGGTCATGTCAAGATTGTCCTGAAGGTAGCGTTGTTCGCGGCCGCTACCGCCCGCAAGTCTGCGGGCAGCAACATCCACTCGCCAGATACTCCAAACATGAACGACCTGCGCCCCAGCTTAGTCCGGACACGCAGCAGCTGTAGCTGCTCGGAGGCCGTTGCTCGAGTGGCACAAGCCGACACATCAGAGCGGCGCACATGCCCCCGTAGCATCTCCGATACGTGCGTGGCTGTGCAGATATGACGCATGAATAATACATGATAAACATGATATTATAGACACTAGTAGCCACTAGTGTCTATAATATCCGGTTAAAATTAAGAAAACAAATCAAACTGGAAAATGAAAGTTGAGTGCAACTGCTGGATTGGCAGAAAGGCTGACGAATCGCGCAGATTTTGCTTTATGCTACCCGGAATGCGGCTGGCCCAAATCCTCCTCGCCCAGTGATTTTCTCTTAAATCCCCTGATAACGATACCAATTCCCTGATAACGACGTCAATTTTCGGCACACGTCTTGCATCAATCTTGCCACACCCTAACAGGAGTACATCTGCTCTTAGCCCGACATCACAAACACACAACAAAATTAAATCGGTCCCAGCCACCAGCTCCCCAGACAGTAAGCTAGACGAGCGTCGTCGCTGAGTTACCGACATATAAGCACGCCTTGCAGCGCGGGTCGGACGACGCTTGGCGTGGAATGCAAATAGTTACGTAAAAACTAAGGTATGTTACAGCCCAAAACAAGAAAATAGAAAACCACGGGATTTGTTGGGTGCGCACTGCAATGACATGTTTAACTATGACTCCAGCTGAAAACTGGGAATCGAGTTTAATGGTTAATAGTTCGCGTCCATGGTCGTTTTACGCTCAATCGAAGGGGATCGACCCGTTATTACTCAAACCACGTGGAGCAATAAATCCACGTGCAACGACCGAATTCTTGCTTGAAAACGAAACTATCGTGGTTGAGCATTCGGTGCAGTGTTATATTGTCCTGATTCGGTGCGTACAGATTTACATCGTGCACAAGATACCTTTACTATAACGCACACTCCAACTGGGGTGCATGTTTGGTACCTTTTGCTGCGAACTTACTGGCACTCCATGCACGGAATATTTCATTCAGATAAGCTATCTAAAGTGAAAAAGCCAGGGGAAGTTTGAATCTGATGGTGGAAATGGCTCAAACCGACCCATCGGCCTACTTAAATCCATTTAGTCACACTCAAATCTGATCACAAAAGAAACGACAGATTTAAGAGCCAGTCGCATAAGCATGCGAGAGCGCTGCCATGCAAGAATGGAGCTGGGTTTAAAGCCTGTAAGTTGCTCCGCGCATTAGTCCTTTTAGCTACGGTTTTAGCGGTTGGCAGTGCAAATCTCATCGAAGGAAGATCAGCCTCCATACAACCACGTAACGGATCAGTCCTATCCAACACAACAAACACTTCGAAGCTTCAGCCAGGCAGCGGCGATGAATCCGACCCTCTCCATCTGGCTTGCGCCGAGATATCTTTGGTATGCCATCATTACAACCGGATGGTGCCCCAGTCTATCAACTTCACTGCGGAGGAACGAGAAAGGAACGTGACATGTGAAATAGGGTCAGAGGCAGAACGGTCTGAACAGTGCACGACGGTGGTTCGAATTATTGTGGACATCTTGCAAATCAAGGATGTCAACGAAGAATTCGGTATAGTCCGCCTTTTGATGGTGCTCAGACAATTCTGGTCAGACGGGAGGCTAGACCTTGCTCCCGAGTACAGAGACACCTGCCCGTACATTCAGGAGGTGAACAATGGCAGTGCGGGTTATGTGCCGTCAGAAGCCCATCGTAAGGTGTGGGTCCCTGATCTGTACCTCATTCGAGTCGAGGAAGTGTATAGACCCGAGATTCTGGCGGCAGCGGAGACTTTCCGAGTGGACGAGCACGGTAACGTCACGTACGTGATGTTTGGTGTCTTCAAGCTGTCTTGTCCGATGGACTTCCAGAACTTTCCAATGGATGTCCAGTATTGTCCGATTTACATAGAAAGCTGGCGCCTGGAGCAGGCAATCCAGACGATTATGTGGGATCCGCACAGCACCGTCGGAGTCAGTTCAGATTACAGCCTCGACCAGTTCTCATTTGGCTTGCGCATATTGAAAGTAGGAGACTTCGAATACTGCCACCGGGACCTTCTCACGGATCGGCGTCGCTCTCATCTTCTCCCGCAAACTACAGTTTTACGTGCTCCAGATATACTTCCCCACTGTGCTGTTCGTCATCATCTCTTGGATGACATTCATCATCCCGCCAGCGTATGCGCAGGGCCGCATCATCCTGACCATAACCACCATGCTGACGCTGGCCGCGCTCTACTACTCCCTCGTCAGCATGCACTCGCCGTCGACATCCTACATCAAGGCCATCGACGTCTGGATGTTCGTGTGCCTGTTGTTCGTGTTCGCCGCCGTCGTCGACTGCCTGATCGACATCCGGCTGCTGTTTGTCGTCTCGCAGTCGTACAAGCAAGAACGGCTCGGGTTTCTCACGCCCGTGTCGGTGGCGCTGGTCGAGAACCGCCGCGTCTTCGACGACCTGTTCGGGGGGCTGGACGACGAGCCCGCCGCCACGCCGTCCGTCTTCTTCGACGCGCCGAGTCGGCCGGAGCTGCCGCCGCCGTCGCCGGCCACCCGGCTCTTCAATTCGATACTGCGCCGGTCAGACGGCGGCCGAGAACCGTGGCGGACTGGCGGTGAACTTCGCGGCCGAGGTGGAGCAGTCTGCCCCGCCGCCGTCGGCCGCCCACGCCGATACGGCCTCCGAGCGGTGGACGCGTGCCGCCAAACACTTCGAGAAGGCCTCGTTCGTCGTGTACCCGGCCGCCTTCTTGCTCTTCAACGTCTGCTACTGGGCGTACTATCTGAACGCGGCGCGGCCGCCCGACAAGCTGGCAGAAGAGATGCGGCTAGGCTTCACGCCAAAGCCGCGCGCGAGCTAGCCGGCGGCGCCCGGCCGCCATCCCTGCGGCGTGGCGCCCGGCGCCCGCCGCCCCCCGACGCCGATCGACCGGAGCTGAGGGACCCGACCGACTCGGCGGCCGCTAGACCCGGAACCGGGGGGCCTGCCCGACCCGGTCGCAGCGTTGGGGCGCCATACAGTCGTAATACCGCTACAGTGGAACAGCGTAGCAAACATGGACTTTTCCTTTCCGTTTCAGCGCGATTTGGCTGCACAGCTGAACCACCCCCACCCGAAGAGCAAACAGCCTACGACGCTTTTGTTGAGCATTGCGTTGATATGTATCTTGGATTTATGGATGCGGAATATATGCCTGTGGATGTTGGCGAGAGTGCTCCGCAGGGTTTCCAACTGCCTGTGAGCTCGGTAGCAGACTGGTCACTTAGGTCAGCTCCAGTCGGAACGCATCATGGAGTACCTTTAAGCGATTACACGCTCCCTCACAACACGCTTACAATTTGTTTGCAGAGCTGTACCCGTTCTTCCGCTATCATTTCATAACGTATTATTGCGTACATAGCTCGGCCCCTATACCAGGTAAATCAATGAAAATGGTTTTATTCGATAGGCAATGACAAACGCTATCTATCGCGATATGTATGTCAGCTAAGCCCGGATAAAACACGCTTGTTGGTGTTTTCTCTGGAGGAAGGGGTGGGGGTTATTACAATTTTCCACAGCTCATACTCCGAGCCTACTCTGCACAACTACACCTCAGGATGAGAGCGGCAACAGTTAAATGACGCGAGTTCGAAAATCGGTGTTTAATCAAGGTTTCATAACTTAAGAGGCCGTTTTTCTTTCACGCCAGCTGCTAGCTTGTCACACTGCCCTGCACATCTACCAGCAAAGTCTCCTGCCCAGCCAGCTGGCGGTGACGACCTCATCCGATTTGAGTGGTTGTTGGACGCATGTTACAGTTGTTGGACGGACGTCACAGTTGTTGGACGGACGTTTTAGTTGTTGGACGCACGTTACAGTTGCTGGGGGACGTTACAGCTGTTGGACGGACGTTGTAGTTGTTGGGGGACGTTACAGTTGTTAGACGGACGTCACAGTTGTTAGACGGACGTAACAGCTGTTGGACGGACGGCCGGCAGGTCAGCCCGGCAGTCCGGCGGCATGGACCTCAGGTCACCGATGGGCAGCGCACGCGACAGCGCCAGGTCCCGTCGGCCAATACATGGCCAGCTTCTAGCGCTGACAATGGCTCACTCAATGGAGTCAGGCTACTTGGGAACATGCTGTGAAATACTCGCACATCACTGGTGAGGGCTCAAGCATTTCTACAGCTGGTTAATGTCCTTTCTGTTGCACGTATGGGCAATTATGTAGGGCGACGGATGATGGGTATCGCAGCAGGCCAAGCCGAGCACAGACGGCTTGTCCCTACCATCTCCCCAGACCAGGCCCAGCGGGATCACTGTACCACCTCCCCAGACCAGGCCCCGCAGGGATCACTGTACCATCTCCCCAGACCAGGCCCCGCAGGGATCACTGTACCATCTCCCCAGACCAGGCCCAGCGGGATCACTGTACTATCTCCCCAGACCAGGCCCCGCAGGGATCACTGTACCATCTCCCCAGACCAGGCCCAGCGGGATCACTGTACCATCTCCCCAGACCAGGCCCAGCGGGATCACTGTACCACCTCCCCAGACCAGGCCCCGCAGGGATCACTGTACTATCTCCCCAGACCAGGCCCCACAGGGATCACTGTACCACCTCCCCAGACCAGACCCAGCGGGATCACTGTACTATCTCCCCAGACCAGGCCCAGAAGGGATCACTGTACTATCTCCCCAGACCAGGCCCAGCGGGATCACTGTACCATCTCCCCAGACCAGGCCCCGCAGGGATCACTGTACTATCTCCCCAGACCAGGCCCAGAAGAGATCACTGCACCATCTCCCCAGACCAGGCCCAGCGGGATCACTGTACCATCTCCCCAGACCAGGCCCCGCAGGGAGCGTCAGTACCATCTCCCCAGACCTGGTCCGGCAGCGTGGGCGCGTGCTCACCTTCTGACGCAGATCAGCCAGTGGCAGGCAGAGCTCGCTGGAGAGGCTAAGCGAGACGGCAGCGCGCGCCGCCTCCGGCTGGGCGGCGGCCGCTAGCGCCGCCTGCAGGAGCCGCTCGCACAGCTCGGGCTGCTGGGGCCGGCGCAGGCGGCGTCCCAGCGCTACCAGCACGGCCGGCAGCGTCGAGCGGCCGGGCAGCGGGCGGCGCGCCGGCGCGACGGCCTGCAGCTGACGGAGCAGCAGCGCCGCCAGACCGGCCAGACGCACGGATGGCGCCGGCGCGTCGGCCGGCTCCGTGTGACGCAGCGCCAGCTCCAGCGTTTGGCAGGCGGGCGACAGGCAGCGCCGCCAGAGTGGCGGCTCTGGCGGCGGGCCGCAGCGGGGCGTCAGCGGCCGGCCGTAGCCCACAGCGACACACACAGAGGCGGCACACCACGGTGACAGGACACAGCACAATTGATGTACTGACTTCATCCTACCTTGTGCCAAGAGGGCCCAAAAATTTCACACTCACAGTCTTTTGACGGCACCCAGTCCACGAAAAGTTGCGCATCAATGAGGAGGTTCGCACAGCAGTCCGGCACGCCAGCGCCAACTCGCTGACAGCTGTGGGGCGATGTGGGGATGCATGGCTGAGAGCGGGGGCGCACCGAGCTGCGGGACAGCCCTCACCCTGCTCGGCGGTCCCGGAGCTCTGCTGCAGGGTGTGCAGCACGGTGGTGAGCACGGCTGTGCGGGCCCGCACGTGCACCTGCTCGAAGCGGGCGCTGCAGGCCTCCAGCAGGCTGCAGCAGCGCTCCTGGACGGCGCGCTCGGCGCAGCGTCTGCCCACGCGTGGCCGCCGATCAGCGGTCAGCGACGCCAGCCAAGAGGATGGCCGGCTCGGTGCTGACGCACAGCCCAGACCGCGGCACTGCTCACGGCAGGCCAACGGACAGCCGACCACTCACAACGGTGTCAACGGCACGTCCCATGAACATCTCACATGGAGCCCCACCCGCGCCCGCCGAGTGCACCACCATGCAGCCAGCATTTCAACTACGACAATGAACATGCCAGCACGCGCCAGTTGCTGCTGCTCCACCCTTGTTCGCCCCGGTTTCCCGCGGGCGTCCCTCCCGCCGATGGCGTCACTCACTCCGGCCAGCGGGCGGCCAGCGTCATGACCAGCTCCGAGAGGGTGTTGACCAGCCGCGGCCGGCCGTCGGCGGTCAGCTGTCTCTCCAGCGCCGTCATCAGGTCCAGCAGTAGGCGCTGCTGGCTGTCCGTCGAGAGCTTCACCATCTCGCCTGCGATCGTCCCGGCGTCGGTCAGACGACAGATGGCCGCGCGTGTCCGGTGCACCCAGCCGAGGGCTCGTATCTGAGCCGACCGCGGCGGCACCCGAGGTCTGACATGAGCCCAGAGCGAGTCCTGACCGCAATTCCCACCCCGTGTGTTGATGTCCAAGCCTGAGTAGTAGCTCCAAGCCTGACCACCTCTGTATGAGCGGATCAGAGCAGAAATACCGCCTTCGAATGGCTGGCCAGCGTCGGGCGAGGCCGTGGCCGCTTGGGGAAAGTAAAACGTGTCCTGATTTTAACAAAACTGGTCCTATTAGCGTTCTGCCAGAAGCCTCAGTTACCTACATTTTCTTTTAAAGCCATGAATGCGCCTCACTCGGTCAGACTCTGACCGCCTTGGGGAGGGGGTGTGGTGTGGCTGGCCCCTGGACAGCCCTTCATCCGACCTGTCACTCAATGACGTGAGCTGTGCGTCCGAGCCCGCCTGACCCCGCAGTCTGACCCCTTGTGACCGGCAGCCCCACCTGGCGCGGCCGCCACCAGACACCTGTCCGACCCCGCGTGACCTGGCGCGGCCGCCACCAGACACCAGTCTGACCCCGTGTGACCGACCTCACCTGGCGCGGCCGACACCAAACACCAGTCTGACCCCGTGTGACCGACCTCACCTGGCGCGGCCGACACCAAACACCAGTCTAACCCCGTGTGACCGACCTCACCTGGCGCGGCCGACACCAAACACCAGTCTAACCCCGTGTGACCGACCTCACCTGGCGCGGCCGCCACCAGACACCAGTCTAACCCCGTGTGACCGACCTCACTTGGCGCGGCCGCCACCAGACACCAGTCTAACCCCGTGTGACCGACCTCACCTGGCGCGGCCGCCACCAGACACCAGTCTAACCCCGTGTGACCGACCTCACCTGGCGCGGCCGCTACCAGACACCAGTCTGACCCCGTGTGACCGACCTCACCTGGCGCGGCCGCTACCAGACACCAGTCTGACCCCGTGTGACCGACCTCACCTGGCGCGGCCGCCACCAGACACCAGTCCCGCCAGGCCAGCAGCAGCTTGGCGCCGTCGTCCTGCTTCTCCTCGGAGGCCTCCTCCTGACCAGTCAGGTCCACCGACGAGTTCAGGTCGGACGACAGCGAGCACGTCACATCCATCACCAGCTGCGGCGCGGCATCATCAGGGGTCAGGCACTCAGCCAGCGGCGGCTGGAGTGCCAGCCACCCACCCACGGTCAACGAGCGTCAGCCACCAGATATGGTTGAGGTGCGGGGGGGGGGGGGCGGAGAGTGCAGACACAGGGACCTGTGGCGGCCGGACTCCAGCAACGGCCGCCGCAGCAAAGACGCTGGTGCGCACCGGCCGCAGGACGATGTGATGCAGCATCTGGCCGGCCCTACCTCATAAGCCGCCTGCTGCACTGGCGACTGGCCGGTCACACGGCCTCCGCCCTCACAGAGGAGCCGGCCCCGCCTGACGTCCGCCGCCCACCTTTGACCACGTGTTGAGCAGACGGCCGCCGTCGCCGGTGACGCCGGCCAGCACAGCCGCCAGCCGGCGGTCCGTCTGCCGGCCGTAGTAGAGCTGCAGCGCCAGCGTGCGCAGCAGGTGGGCGGCCAGCAGCAGCGGCAGCGGCGCGGGTGCCGAAAGCAGCGGCGCCGTCAGGTCCGACCAGAAGTGCTCGGCGCCGCTCAGGTAGGTCAGCGCCGAGCCGCACTGGCCCAGCCAGAGGGCATGTACGAGCGCCGCCGCCGCCAGCAGCAGCGGCGACTGGCGCCCGTCCGGCTGCCGGCAAGGAGCGGGGCGTCAGAAGGGCGGCCGCGGTCCAGGTCAGGCCCGCCGGCGGCGGGGTCCAGGTCAGGCCCGGCGGCGGTCGGTCGGCGGTGGGCGCAGACACGATGGCACGCACGCCTTCGATGCACGTGCTCTTGGAAAATGCACAACAAGGTACGAGCACATTGCATCCCTGGCGGGCATTTGCAAAATGTGATTCACACAGTAGCAGGGCACTGTGATACCTGCCACAATCATACACATTCAATTTAGTCACAACTTTAGAGGTCCACTCTTCGGATGGACAGTCTATGCAGGCTTAGCCTTACATCGTTATGTTCTTTTAGAATGATGAGCAGCTCTTCCAGGAATCCACCCTCGTCGTCCTGCTCGGCCTTCTTCTTCGATCCTTCCTCAGTTTCAATGGCACCAATTCCTGCAGAATTTGGGAGAGGCTACAGCTGATGTCAATTAGGCCAGATTCGGCCATTAATAGCCCAGCAGCGCCAGTCGTGGGCCAAACGACAGAAAATGGCGGACTACGCACTGCATCCACGGCAACAGCAAACCCCACCCACCATGTTTCACGTTCCACTTTCTGCTAATTGCGAAGGCGACCACGCAAAAGTCAGACAAATAAAAGCCATCACTATCTATATATACAAAAAAGACCGCAGCGTATGCATGATGTCACATATCCTATTAAAATGAATTATCAAGATTGGAGAATGTCACGGTGACAATGAATCTCGAGCACACAACGTCCAGTCCTGAGCCGTGCCCTTTGTCCTGCCTCCGTAAGCCCGTGTGTGAGCCCCGGCAAGCCCGTGTGACCCACCAATGAGCCGCTGCAGCAGGCCCGGCTGTGACGTCACGCAGGTGGCTATGAAGTCGAGGATGGCCACCTTCAGGTTGACGTCCTCCGTTTCGGAGCGGAGTCGCGTCAGGATGACGCCGCAGATGACGTCCGAGTCCTGGCCGAACGAGGCCAGCAGCGACATCGGGAACACCTGGTCAGATCAGAGACGGCCGGCGGCCGGGTTACACCGGCGCCCGGCACACAGATGACGTCCGAGTCCTGGCCGAGCGAGGCCGGCAGCGACATCGGGAACACCTGGTCAGATCAGAGACGGCCGGCAGCCGGGTCACACCGGCGCCCGGCACACCCACTGCAAGATGGCAGCGTCACTGTTTACAGCCAGGCAACGACGGACAACTCACAGGCTCTGCAAGTGGGGACATCGCGGGCGGGCCACCGAAAAGCATCTCCACGGGTAGAAGCACAGTGGTTCCAACAGAGACATCGAATATGCTCCGCCAGCCCTCGGTAGGATATGCACTACTCCTTGAAGCTCTATCGCTCCAATTCGCACCGCTAAATGTTAAGCCCTGTCCGGTGGCAGACACCACTTCATGAGCAAACCGACATGCTGTGCATGCTCCCGCCAGTGCAGGAGACTGCTAGCGACGGGCGACTGGTGACCCAGGCGGCCTGGTGCGTCGGCGGCGCCGCCGGCCGTCGCACCTTGGCCAGTCGCAGCAGGAGCCGGATGGCCAGCGTCGGCAGGTGCGGATTGTGCCGGTGGAACAGGTACTGGGCGATGGCCAGCACGGGCCGCAGCTGACTGCGGCCGGCCGGCTGCTCGGTCAGCAGACGCTCCAGCAGACTCGGCTCCGGGCCGACCGACGACGCGCGGCAACGAAGCATCAGCAGTCTGAGCGGCGGGCCATGTCACAGGTCAGAGATCAGACACGCACGCATGGACGAGGTCAAACGTCAGGCCAGACACACACGCACGGGCGAGGTCAAATGTCAGGGTCACACACATGCATGGCTGAAATCAAAGATCAAGGTCAGACACACACGCATGGGCGGGGTCAAACGTCGGGTCGGAAGCACAAGCACGGGAGAGGTCAAAGGTCAGGGTCAGACACACACGCATGGGCGGGGTCAAACGTCATGTCAGAAGCACAAGCACGGGAGAGGTCAAAGGTCAGGGTCAGACACACACGCACGGACGAGGTCAGACGGCCAGCAGGCGGGCCAGTCAACTGCAACCGCACATCTGTACAAGGCCACAAGGCCCGACAACTCTGCATACAACCCTAGTCATTGTCACAAGGCGTGTGTCCGAATAGACACATGCCGTTATTAGCACCGCTGTATACCACATAGGGACAGAATTCATAAAAGCAACTGCTCATGAACTCCACGCACGCAGGAAACGATGCCACCCACAAAAAACCTGCCGCACAGAGTTCAATGGCACTGGCTGCTCAGGAGGCTTGTGGGACGCACCTGTTAAGCACGGACAGCGCCACATGGATGAGACGGATAAACTCCAGACCTGCTCCCGTGTCCCAGTGGGTCTGCTCCTCTAGCAGCATGACGATACGAGCTTCACCTGCCAGAACCATGGTGCAACACTGGGGAACGACTGCAAGACGACGGGCGACGGGCGTGGTGGCGCGTAACCGCTGACGCTTTCGTCACAAAACAACGATCATAACGCTGCGCGCAAGACACCGCAACACGTCCAACACCACCCACAGGATGTGGTCGTTCACACCCGAACGGATCGCACGGCAAATCATCCTGCCCAGCTGGACACTGCATCCCGCAGTCAGACTATCGCCGATCGCTCCGGCGCCAACCAGGTCACGGCGTTTGGTTAGGACGTGTGGCTGCAAAGCCTGGTCACTAGGGTTGTCGCCACAATGGAATGGTGAGGGTCGCCGGCGGCCGTGCCGCCCCACCCACCGTGCACCACCAGCGAGAGCAGCGTCTCAGCCGCCGGCGAGTCGGTAAGCGCGCGCGCCACCAGCGCCTGCAGCGGTCCGGGCCGCTCCAGCGCCAGCAGGGCGTGGCAGAGGCTGAGACAGGCGCGGCCGAGCGCGGTCTGGTCGCCGCGCCGCGCGTACTGCCACCGCTCGTGCGCCGGGAACACGTCGCGCAGCACGAACGCCACGCAGGGCACCAGCGCTGGAAGCTCCAGCTGTGGCGCCGCCTGCCGGGTCGGCGCCCAGACAACGGACGGGTCACACGGCTCGCCACCGACAGCAGTGGCCATACAGATAGCTGGTGACGCCTCACGGCGCGTCTCGGCTGCACGGACCACCAGCAGCGACCGCGTGCCATCGACACCCCCAGACACAACCAACAGACGACGCGGTCAGCACGCGCCGAGGAAAACTGGAGCGCCGGTGGGTCACAGGAACTAGACTGCCAATCTTCACCTACGATGGTATTACACCGTACGTAGGAACCTCGTAAGATAACTTCGAAACAATGCAGCATCCAGGCAAAACTTGGACGGCTATATAACGAGAAACCTACGCAGACCTATGTATGTGATGTGAGCAAAGCTGACGCAAGATTAACCAAAAGTCTGCATACATCGACAATACTAGAAGAATGTTGCACCCATGCCCAGGAGAGCGATGGGTCCGCGCTCTGTCCGTGCAAGGGTGCACGAGCCGCGCGGCCGCCGCCCACCTGGAACGGTGTTGAGCAGCAGCTGGAGGAAGGCCTGCGTCAGCGGGTAGCGCCGCTGCACGCACTCGTGCGCCTCTATCAGCTCTCCGAGGCGGCCCGGCGACCACCGACTGCAGCGGGTCGGGCGCCGGCGGCCGGCGCACGGCAGTAACCTGCAGCGTGTCACAGCCATCAGACCGAGCACGGCCGAACCAGGGCCCCCTGGTGGTACGCCAACGAGCGGGGTGGTCACCTATGTCACACGAGCACACAGCAGCGGCACCCGTCACCGGGCCGTGCAGGCGGAGCCATCAGGGACAAACCAGGGCCCCCTGGTGGTACGCCAACGAGCGGGGGTGGGTCAGCCTGTCACACGAGCACACAGCAAGCGGCACCCGTCACCGGGCCGTGCAGGCGGAGCCATCAGGGACAAACCCAGGGCCCCCTGGTGGTACGCCAACGAGAGAGGTGGTCACCTATGTCACACGAGCACACAGCAGCGGCACCCGTCACCGGGCCGTGCAGGCGGAACGATCAAGGGCAAACCATCTCGTAACACACAGCCGACGCTGAATCTGCGGGAAATCAGCGCCACGGCAGGCGCGCGACTTGTAAGCGCGAGGGGTTCACGGTTTGCTGTCCGCAGTTGTTTGGGTTCGGCCGCAGCAGTCGGCGCCATAGGCTATGGCCCTCGCACCAGACTCTCGGCGTGCAACGCGACCGAGCGACGGCAGGAGCGGTGGGTGCTGACCTGTTCCTGTCCATGTGCTCCCACACGTAGTCGGGCTCCACGCGCGCATGCAGAGCCAGCACCTCGGCGGCGTGGTGGACGAACGGCTGCGGCGCACACCCCCAGCGGTAGTGCCTGCGGCCGGGCTTCGTTCAGCACATCGCAGCATACGGAGCAGCCAGCCCGCCACAAAGCGGGGTGCTCGGTGCCGTATCCCGCCCACCATAGAACACAGAGCAGCACACTACGCGCATCAGGACCGGAGCCCAAGCTTACCAGAGCATCCTGCATGAAAACGGAGGCCAGGTCGCACGCGTTACAGCTTTCTCCCGGATGGAGAACAGGCGGGGGAACAAGCGGCTCACCTCTCCAGGATGGGGAACACGAGCTCGATGTGGGGCCGGAGGTGGCGCGCCTGCTCCGGTGTACCATGCTCCATCACCGCCCGCAGCAGGCGCGCCATCGCGCCGGCCCGCTCCGACGTCTCCGGCTGCACGTGCTGCTCGCCCATCTGCCCCTGGGGCAGGCAACAACGACCGCTCTAGACCGGTGGCCAGCAGATGGCGCCGGTACACTATACAGTGCAGGCGGTGGTGGTCATGAGCTGGCAGTGAGCATCATATGCTACAGGCGTCGCCAGTTGTCTTTGATGTACCGATCGTGTCATTAGATTTGCGTGCGGTTTTGAACCCTTGACTACTAACCCCAAATGAGCATTATTTATCAACCACCAGTTTCTTAAAGCTTAAAACTTGGTTGCCACTTGTGTGCCGGTGTGATCGGGCGCTGCCACCGACGACTGATAGCGGCCGGCCGGCCGTCTCGCGGCTGGCTGGCGCCCCCGACGGCCGACGCACGTCTGCTGTGGGCACACGTCTGCAGCTGCGGCACACGCACCTCGCGCTGCAGGTCATCCAGGAAAAGTAGGCCCTGCTGCCAGCCGGAGTGGCTGACGCGCCAGCAGACGAGCCGGCTGGCGCCGGGCAGCAGGCGACCCGTCGCGCCGGCCGGCAGCACCAGCTTCGGCAGCCGCCGCTCAGGGTACCAGTCGTGCTGCAGCGTCCAGTCGTCCAGCGCCGCCACGGCCGTGCCCGCCGGCACCAGCGCTTCCGGCACGGCGTAGCTCGGCAGCCGGTCCAGATAGGAGACCATCTGGGGGACGGTCGGGGGACGGTCAGCGGCACAGACACTGGGAGCGGAGGCACTCGGCGGAGGCGCGCACGGACTGCAGCGCAGCAGCAGCCGTAGAGCAGCGCTACTCAGCGCGGGCAAGCGCGCTTCTCAGGAACGGCCGGACGCCACCACCACCCCCGCCGACAGCGAGGGAAACTGAGCCTCCCATACCCCGGGGCGATACAGCTCCAACCGCAATGTCGCGCTCTATTCAAGCGTCGGGGAGCTGCGTCAGTGCCGTTTCCTCTCGTTGGAGAGATGAAACCACTGCTGACCCAGCACCACGCAGCCATGTTCCAGGCATCAGGCGTACATACCGCAGTTGAACACCTGATAGGTGCACCAGCAGCTCAATCGTACCAGCTTAGATAGACCACCTATCATGGCCCGCCCCTCCCATGCACCGCGGCCGTCGTGCCACCCAACCCACCTGGGCAAGGCTGTCCCGACCGGCCTGCGCCAGCGCGGCGGCCAGCTCCAGCAGTGGCACGCCGTCGGCCGGGAACCGGTCAGCCGCCTCATCCAGCAGGGAGCGCAGTGCCGAGTCGCCCGCCCACAGGTCCTCCGCCAGGTCCGGCACGCACAGCAGCTCGGCGCAGATCTGGAACCGACCCACGCTCGGTACCGGGCGCCGGGACACGGACCACGCTCGGTACAGGGCGCCGGGACACGGACCACGCTCGGTACAGGGCTCCGGGACACGGACCACGCTTGGTACAGGGCGCCGGGACACGAACCACGTTCGGTACAGGGCGCCGGGACACGGACCACGCTCGGTACAGGGCTCCGGGACACGGACCACGCTCGGTACAGAGTGCTGAGACACGGACCTCGCTCAGTACAGGGCTCCGGGACACGGACCACGCTCGGTACGGGGCTCCGGGATACGGACCACGCTCGGTACAGGGCGCTGGGACACAGACCACGCTCAGTACAGGGCTCCGGGACACGGACCACGCTCGGTACAGGGCGCTGGGACACGGACCACTCTCGGTAGAGGGCTCCCGGACACGGACCACGCTCGGTATAGGGCGCTGGGACACGGACCACGCTCGGTACAGGGCGCTGAGACACGGACCACGCTCGATGCAGGGCGCTGGGACACGGACCACGCTCGGTACAGGGCGCTGGGACACGGACCACACTCGGTACAGGGCGCTGGGACACGGACCACGCTCGGTACAGGGCGCTGGGACACGCACCACGCTCGGTACAGGGCGCTGGGACACGCACCACGCTCGGTACAGGGCGCTGGGACACTGACCACGCTCGGTACAGGGCGCTGGGACACGCACCACGCTGGGTACAGGGCGCTGGGACACGGACCACGCTCGGTACAGGGCGCTGGGACACGGACCACGCTCGGCACAGGGCGCTGGGACACGGACCACGCTCGGTACAGGGCGCTGGGACACGGACCTCGCTCGGTATAGGGCGCTGGGACACGGACCACGCTCGGTACAGGGCTCCGGGACACGGACCACGCTCGGTACAGAGTGCTGAGACACGGACCTCGCTCAGTACAGGGCTCCGGGACACGGACCACGCTCGGTACAGGGCGCTGGGACACTGACCACGCTCGGTACAGGGCGCTGGGACACGCACCACGCTGGGTACAGGGCGCTGGGACACGGACCACGCTCGGTACAGGGCGCTGGAACACGGACCACGCTCGGCACAGGGCGCTGGGACACGGACCACGCTCGGTACAGGGCGCTGGGACACGGACCACGCTCGGCACAGGGCGCTGGGACACGGACCACGCTCGGGACCACGCTCGGTACAGGGCGCTGGGACACGGACCACGCTCGGTACAGGGCGCTGGGACACGAGCCGCACGGGGACGCCGGCGGTGGTACACGCGTCACATTCAGCCGTCAAGATGCGCCAATTTGAACATTAGTCAGGATTGCATGATTTTCATGGGTGCGAAACAGACTTTAGGGGAGTTAATCCACCGCTAAAGAGCAACAGAAAACGTGATGCTCACTGTTATCACATCTTTCTCCTCGCCAAGATTACGGGCATCAAAACAGAGAAGAAGTAGGTCCATCATGTTGTAAATGGTGTCACGGGCTATCTTCCCAATCATGGAGGTCTGGAAAAGGGAAACATCACTTCACAAATGTCACCCCGTCATACTGCGGGAGACGATATCGGGTGATGCAATGCGATTGCGACAGACCGCGCTCAAAGCTGCGGTTACACCAGCTCGTACTCATGCTTCACGACAAATGATGCACCTCCATGAATTACATGCAAACATTGCATGAGTAGCTCAGATCGCGAGTGAGTGCAGTGACGAACCGCGTGCGAAATCGCCAGGCGCACAGGCGAAGTGTGGATGTAGGACCCAGCTTGCAGTTATCTCCACGTCCCATATGCAGGTAGTACTCCCTTCAAAATTAGAGTATAAGTAAACGCGTGAGAGCGGCAAAATTATCCCTGATAACGCTTCCTTTGTTATCGAAAACCATTTCCTCTACGACATGAGCCAGTGGCGTCCATACCCACGCCACGACAGCTGCCACTGTCCGGGTGCCCTCCAGCACTGACCCGGCTCTGGAAGACGTCAGCGTCGGTGAGCATGCGGCGCGTGTAGCCGAGCACGTCCAGTTGGCGCAGGCGGCGAGTGATGGCGCGCCGCCGAGCCACCGGCAGCTCGCCGACGCCGTGCAGCAGCAGCAGCCAGGCCAGCAGCAGCGGGCCGTGCTCGGGCTGCGCGCCCAGCGCCGAGAGCGGCAGGTCCAGCGGCTCCCAGCCGGCCGCCGTCGCCAGCAGGTGCTTGGTCGGCGGCACGCAGTCGCTGACCGACAGACCAGTGATGTCACGGCCGGCTGCTACGCAACGGGTGAAGTGGTACGTGGCAAACAGACCTGCATTGTACATATATAATGTTGGCTGGCGGGAGATTATCAGGCGGTTATGATGTACGATATCACACGCACATTTTCAGGCCCTACGTCACTTAAGTTCATTCTTAATACAGACATGCAGAGTCAACATGTCGGCCCTTCGCACATATACCACTTTGACGCGGGTACTTACGTAAAGGTAAGTTGCGGCCGGAAACAAAAGCAGGCTCTCGCCCCGCTTCCTGACGGTGCTGCATGTTCTACCCGCTACCTGAAGATGCCGCATCTCTCGCCCCGTTATCTGACGATGCCACATATCCCGCCCCGCTATCTGACGATGCCGCATCTCTCGCCCCGTTATCTGACGATGCCGCATCTCCCGCCCCGTTATCTGACGATGCCGCATCTCTCGCCCCGTTACCTAGCGGCTGCCGCGTGTACCTTCCCTGCTGATGGCGGTCCCTTTTCCGTCCCGTTGCCTGGCGGTGGCCGAGTGGCGTACCGCCCCGCTTTCGGACGGTGACCAGGTCTCTCGTCTGTTACCTAACGGCGTCGACCAGCGCGTCCAGCTGCAGACCGTGGATGAAGACGACCGTCTCGAGCAGGCAGACGGATCGCACCAGCTCGCTGTGCTGCTCGGTCAGCAGCTGGGCGTATGGCGGACTGCGGCCCAGTCCGTGCCTCTGAGGGGCACCACACACTGTGCGTTAGTCGTGCTCGCCGCGCCGTCCGCGAGACGCCGCGGTCGCCGCGCCACAGGCGGCAGATCACGCGGCCCACCGGCAGGGCTCACAAAGCGGCCACAGCCACACCACCGGCGGCCCTCGGATGACCCGGTCCAGATCCGCCAGGCGACGGGAGACGGCTGGCCACACCAGAGACAGCGGGCGAGCAGACGACACGACGCAGATCCCCGACCGCCTCTCAACAGAGGCGCAGGCAGCGCTGATGGCAGGCAGCCCTGACGGCACAGGAGCGCCGCCCTTTCTGTCGAGCACAGGTGCCGGCGCTCGGCCGCTCAGAGGCGCGCCGCCACTGACCGTGAAGAGCAGGACGAAGCGCTTCAGCTGGTGCGGGTCCGGCCCACGCCGCTGCTCGCAGTAGGTCAGCAGACACTGCAGCAGCTCGGCCTGCTCCTTGAGCGCGCTGCTGACCCAGGACTCCTGCGCGGCCGGCGAGCCGAGAGCCTCGTGGCGCCGCCAGACGGGCGCCGGCGCCGACACCGTCCACGACAGCTGGTCGAGCAGCGCCGTCAGCAGCTGGCCGTCCTTGTCGATCAGCTCCAGGAACTTGGCGAACAGCGCCTAGAGTGCGAAACAGTGAGCGGCGACGGAGCGCGTCCGACATGGGTAACGCAGCCGGCCAGTGAAATGCCAAGAGGCGGGATAAAACTTTCCTTTCCCAGTAAACTTGCCACCCTGACTAGACACACCATACCAAAGGCACTAAATGCCCTGTGCTCTACCTAGATGAGTGGCAGGCCAGCCAACTGACCTGGTCCTGGGTGATCCTGACCCAGTGGTGGCAGCGTGACCTGAGCCCGTGGCCTGGCATGAGTGTTCCCGTCCTTGTGAGGATCAGGCCCGGCCCAGCGGCCTGTCACAGGACTCCTGTCATTGTGGCAGGACATGATCTGAACAGTGAACTGACAAGGATGGCTCCAGTCCCTGTGTGGAGCCACTGCCAGTGACCTGGTAAGGGTGGCTCCAGTCCCTGTGTGGAGGCACTGCCAGTGACCTGGTAGGGGTGGCTCCTGTCGCCGTGGCGGGCGATAATCTGGCGCAGCCCCATCAGCAGGTACAGCCGCTCTGTGTGGTAGAAGCGCCACACGCTGACCAGCAGCGCCTGCTGGTGTCGCTCCGACGACAGCAGCGCCGCCAGCGAGCGACGCGTGCCGCGAAACTCGCCCACTAGGTAGCAGCAGAGCAGCTCCCAGGCCACACGCTCCGAGACATCCTGCGGCAGCCAGCGGCAGCGATCAGCGCCCTGCCACACACCAGGCAGCTAGTTGTGTTCCTTCACTCATTCTCATGTCTGTGCAGCACAGCAGAGGATGGCAGCACAGAGCCAGCCATTGAGTTGGTCAGCATGTGCCTCTTAGTTTGTTTGAACAGATACCATATTAAGCTTGTTATAACACACAATGATTCAGGAAACAGAAGCAGTTTAGTTAAGCACTGAACTGTGACACCTTTGCGACTATGCTACTCAAAACAAGAAAGATTAAAGTAAAGGTCAACTTTAGTCATTAAATTGCCTGAAATCAACCAATGACAAGATTATAAAAAACTAGGGGAATGCAACTTACAATCAGCTTTGCAACCTTGGCTACGAAGTCCTTTTGAGCAGGGGGAATATTTGTATGTGATGTGTTCTTGTCATCCATGACAGAATTGGAATAGTAGAGAATGCCTTTAGAGAACTTGGCCTTGCTAGACTCCAGCTGTTTCCCAACAATGGAGTTGGAGTACACCACACTGGTCCCAGAGAGGATTGACCAGAGTGACTCATTGCTGAAAAGTTGAAAAGCCAATGAAACTGATTAAATGCTGTACTAAATCAAAGCTTAACAGCTGAATGTAAGTGAACAAATATTGCATAGCTATATGCAATTACATCAGATCAGACAGAAACACAGCATCTGCCATCTTTTAATAATGATAACATTCTTATAATCAAGCATCTATAAAATTGCTCACTGACACTCAGTCTTTTGTCAACAACCAATTGATGCACATATGCATGCTGTGCAGGCCATTTCTGTTTTGTATCTTCTAAGAAAACAGCTTTAACAGGGACCATAAACACATGACTCAGTCAAACAGTAGCATATAAATTCATCAGCCTAACACAAATGTTAACAGTAGCATATTTAACATACATGTAATAATCTGTCATATATCAGCTG